CACAGAAGCTTACCAAGTCAGGACTGCCTATTACACCAGCGGTATTCGTGCCCGAGAATAGTTCCAGTGCAGAATTCATGCTAAGCATGCTCCAGAATTCACCCTTTAGTGCTTTCCAGATTTCTACGGATTTCGAAGCCACCTACGTCCACCTTCTCTTCGCACTGAACGACAAAAACATCTGCATGTTCTATGCTCCATTCGCATCACAGGTGTACAGGGCGTTCTCCATGCTGGAAGATGAGCAAGACATGTTCTTGGAGGATCTTTCTACAGGCAGGATCAATCCTAGACTGAACATTGATGCGGAGATACGACGTTCGCTGGATGCTGCATTGAAGGCCAACCCAGCCAGGGCTGATGAGTTGAGAGCAGAGTTTGCTCGAGGTTTTGTTGGTATCCTTGGGCGAATCTGGCCGCATCTGAATTGCTTTGTGACCGTAGATATCTCTGGCTATGAGCAGAAACTCAAAGCCAAATACACCAAAGGTGAGTAAAATACAGTTCGTGTAGTTACGTGTTGAGCCATAGAAAGCACTCAGAGAGCGCACACCTCAACCAAGGCTGAACAATTCCACACCATATTGTGAGCACACCCATACAGCCTCGCATATCAAATGGGCTTCGATACTTTATTGCACATTTAAAACATCTTTAACTTCCCCATTGTACAAAATGGTATAGTCCATTGACCTGTGTGGTTAGAATAGGTGGGTTACAAGGCATAAAGGGTCACTGGGTCAGTGCCACGCACACGAACCTGTGCACAGAGCGATCTGGTGAAAGTTTTACATGCATATAATGAGTGAATTTTGTTTTAAAGTCCTGCATCCAAAGGCAGATCCAAATCACTTCCAAAATCTAATCGATTTGCATTGGTACTAAGGACTGTCCCTTAAACAATTTTCATGAAAATCCACTCACAACTTTTTGAAATATTCTGTTCACAGACAAACGCACCAACCAATCAACCAACCAACCACCAACACACAAAACCTAACCCCTTGGCGGAGGCACTAACATTGTACTGAGCTGTAAAAAAAAAAAGAAGTGAAGCTATAGCACTGGTTCCCGATCCCTAAATTAAAATTGGGGAGGGAGCCAGTTTCAACCACTCCCATTTTTCAAAATTAATAACACCGAGTCGTTTTAGAGTAGGCCTACACGGAACTACAGTTTTCCAAACAGAAAAGTATTATATGAAATATAGTTTGTTGCCATTTTAATATTTTTTGAACTATGTTGAGTAAATAGTGTAGACATACATGTTAATTAAATGGGATAACTTTATTTACCAATCTATTGTTCTTCAATTCCAACAGCCAATGGGCTAAAATCAGATATGGAGATCAGTGGCTGTCGCGTGTTCCTCGTGCTTTCGTAAGAGCTCATTTTGACCCATTTTATCCATTTTATATTAGGCACCCGTCTTTACACATTCGCTTACGGCTGCACCGAAGGTTTACTTTGCTTCAACTTGTGGATGGACGGTAGACCGCCGCAATATGTGCTGAGCCCTAGTACAACCTTGACGGAGTTTATTCCTGAAGATCTCAGGTAGAAAACAAGTAATGAAATAAACAATATGGTGATAGCACAAAATATCAATTAGTTCTTTCTTGAAACTTGGTAAGTCTATTGACCTTGATGTTATGTTAACAAGGTTATAAACTCTTTTCCATGAGTCATGCGCGTCGCATGAAAACCTGGCGCACACAGACTGTGAAAGTGAGATTTTCGGAAAGATAATCGATACCTAGTTTTTTTCACAACTTCGTTCGTTGACGTCATTGGGTTTTTTTAGAACACTTCCTGCTTAATGACACTTTCCCTATTTGATCTTAATTTTTATTTTACTGTAAACATAGCTTGTAATATTTTATTGCGATAAGTCCCGACTAGGCCTATTTCATTTTTAGGAAGAGGTAGGCCTATGTCCACAATACTGGAACTTGAAGTAAACGATGACACTTCAACGATATAGGTCATTCAAACAAAACTGAGCCTGGCAATGGACTATCTTACAAGATCCAAAGAAAATGGAAATTTAATATTTTTAAAAATAAAACACTGAATCTACAGTTCATGATGAAGTGATATTTCAAGAGTAAGCGGATTACTGCAGTGTACATTTTACACAATTCAGATGCTTCGTATCAACTGAACACAAAAAATGAAATTTTAAAGTAATTAAAAATACTTGTATTTCATCTAGTGAGGAGGCAAATCCAAAGACTTTATTTCTGGATGAGATCGAGGTTGGAAAACGCTACGAGATAGTCATAACGACCGTAAGTGGGTTTTACCGCTACCGCATGGGCGACGTGGTGGAGGTTGTAGGTTTCCATGACAACTGCCCGGTGATTCAAGTGAAATACAGGTAAGCTTAGCGCCGATCTATGCAAAATGGCGTTGTGTAAATGAAATGTTTATATATGTATACAGTAAAAAAAAGCGAAACCCAAATGTCAGGACTATTGTTTTAGTGAAGTTCTGCATGAAGCACTTTCAAAATCTAGGATATGAAAGCCCAATTCATAAGCTTTCTATTGGTACAAGAATCATTCAAATTACTTGTGTACTTTTCAAGTGACGGAATTTTAAACACAACCACCGTTTTAAAGTTCTGTCCACGGATCACAAGAAGGTAAGTGTTCGTTCAGCAAAACGAAAACAAATCACACAGGGATGTGTGTAGATTGTTCTCGTTTTGCTGAAAGAACGCGGACCTTTTTTTTGGTGATCCGTGGACAGAACTTTAAAACGGTGGTTATGTTTAAAATTCCGTAACTTGAAATTGAAAGTGCTACATGCAGAACTTCACTAAAACAATGGCCCGACATTTGGGTTTCTTTTTTTTTTACTCACCCTGTACAACTCAATTTTATAAATCTGAAACAGGTAAAGCATCGGTGTTCAATGTCCCAGATACACTTTTTGTACATCATTGAAAAGTACTCAATTGATAATATTTAACTTTAACAATTGTTGACAATACTTGAATTGAAAATGCTCTTGTATACTCAGAACTGGCGAGCTGTTGAATTTACGCAGTGAGAAGACTGACAAGCTTGTAGTGAACAACGCCATACAGGAGAGCTTGACCAGCTGGCAAGGGGCGACGCTGGTGGACTGGACATGCGCAGAGAGTCCATTGATGTACGAGGACGCGGAGCATGGTAAATAAAATGATTGGCACAGTGTTTTAGAAATCTCGGTCTCGTTTCCAAAATATGAGAAAATTCCGTGAGTTTTCTTTTGTTTCCAAACAGTTGATTTTGACATGTTGTACCTACTGTTCATCGAGTTGGAATCAGTGGACGGCTTCCGTTTATCAGAGGAGCAGAAGTCATTGGTAATTATCCCGATTTTTTTTTTTTTTTTTTTTTTTTTGGCATAGGCCTACACAGACACACAATTTTGTTATCAATAAATCGATTTCAAAGTAAGCTTGTAGCTCCTGCTTTAACAGCTGTCGCCATTTTTGCTGATGATTCTTTGGAGATAAAACATATCATTAACTCTTTTTAATGGCACTATTTTTATTCGTTATTTCCTTCAGTTCGACCAGTCACTTCGCAAGCAGCACGAGTTCTACGACCACTACCGCCAAGTTGGCACCATCTGCGAGGCTCGCGTGATGATCGTTCGCCCAGGATCCTTCAAGAAATTGCAAGACTTCATAATAGCGACTTCCACGGCCAGTTATAACCAGTTCAAGATGCCCAAAAAGCTGCGCACAAAGGCGACTCTTGATCTCATGATGAAGTGTGTAGTAGATGTTTAATATATGCCATAAAAACCTGAAGGCTTTATTGAACAACCCTTACTGTGTGTCAGATGTCACACGCACATTTTGCCAATGTTTTTTTTTTACAGTACATAGAAAAGTGCTCATTCGCAAACAAAAGTGTGAATTATTATAGTGTGTCCTGGATATTTAATAATATCTGTCATAAAAACCTGTAGGCTTTATGGAGGAACCCTTGTTGTGTGTGTCTGATGTCACGCGCACGTTTTGCCAATAGACCGCTTGCAGACGCGATCGATAATTGACGCGCGAAGGTGCAAACGCCATGTTGTGGGACAAAATGTGCATGGATAGATTTACGCTTGTCCCACAACATGGCCTCGCGCGCCTTCGCGCGTCGATTATCGAACGCGTATGCAAGCGGTCTATGGACCGATCCAGTAAGCACCGCCCAATGGTGTTCTGAACCAATCACAGCCGCGATTTATGTCCGACGTGCGTGCACAAATGTCTGACATGCGTGCACGCGCGTATGAAGCGTGAGGCAGGAAAATGCAGCGTGACATGGAGAGGAGGACGTGTTAATTTGCCCAGTGCGCAGTGGGCGGGGCTTACTGGATCGGTCCATTGTGTTGTTTCTTTGGTGTTTTTTTTACAGTGCACAGAAAAGTGCTTATTCGCGAACAACAGTGTGAATCGTTAATAATAATAATCGGCATTTAAGAACGCTCTTATTAGTAAACTAAATCACAGCGCTTACAGTATTATTATTACCCCTGATCATTGGGCCAATTAAAAACATTCCAAATACCATCTCAGCTCCCTGGGGAGTATACAGCTCGATGCTGCCTGTTAGTCACAAGCAAGCTTATTCAAGCTTATTCAATCACAATAACCATCTTTGCCCTCACAGGTACCCATTTACTCCTGGGTGGAGAGAAGCAATGAGTGACAAAGTGCCTTTCTCAAGGGCCCACGCACAATGACCCAGGCTGGACTCGAACCCACACCCCGCAGCTTTTATACCCACAGTCCACGAATCCAGTGCCCTTGGCCACAGCACTCCACAATGATTATGAATGCAAAAGTCAGTTACTTTAGAGATATGTAACCGAGCTGGAAAGGTTACGCAGAAAAATTTGAAAGTGACACTGGGTATATATTCCACTATAAGTTGATCAAAATTTTATTACAAAAAACGACAGTCATTCTTCAGCAGTCTGTAATAACAGAAAACAGAAGAATAGAAATTAATTTATTTACAAATATACAATGACTATGAATCCAATATTCAATTATTTAATTATTTGAAATAACCATCTCTCCTTATCCTTGGTTATCTTTTATCTCGAGAAATTGCTTTACTTGTTCTATAAACCTCAATTTCCATTGATTTGTTCCATAGAAATGTTTTTGCTGCGAATTTACAAGTACATTTCTTAGAGAGGCATAAAAATATTAAAGGCATAAAAATTTAATCAAGGAGAAATAATCTCCATAAGCACTTGCTATGCAATAATTTTACAACACATTAATCTCCAAATCTCCAAATCTCTAAATCTCCAATTTCCAATTTCCAATGCACATTTCAAGCAATAATGTTTTACACACGTACCCAAATATTATGGATGCTGGATATGGGATACACTGGTCTACTCGAGAAGGCTTCTCTATTTGTGACCACTCAGGAACCACAGAACCACAAGCAGTAGCTGTAATAAAATTACTGTACATATTAAGTAATCTCATAAATACTAATAAATGTTTCGATGAAGGAATATTAAATAATCATCAGTGCCATCAAAAAGTTTCATCTCCACAGTACATGTGTACACATCCGTAGTTATTCTATATTGATGAATTTACAATGCATTTTATACCGTACATCTATATCTTAACATTTGTTTGTTTAAACAGTAATGCTCATAAAAAGAGTATTCAATATTCTGTATTCGTACATCCATCTATATGTCTCATGGTTTTATTTCAGGCTAAAACATTCTCTTAGTTCTCTTTCCATCCACGCTATCCAAATTTGAGTTCAATAAAGTGCATTGACCCTATAATTCAACATATTTAGGATCGAAGTATGTGCAAGTATACAGTCAATATTACAAGGAAATTCGGTATCGAAAATTCAAGTCATCTTATGCACAACAATCTTCATACAGACTTGGCTTTAAACCTGGGAGATTTATTTTATGGCATAAAAATGTTTCATACAGACTTGGCTTCCAACCTCGAGTATTCATGGCATAAAAATGTGTCGTAAAGTGCTATTTAAGATAACATCAAAAATTACGAAGTTGAAACACTTACCGGAGCAGTTGCGGCCTGTGTACCTATGCCTCGGGATGTTTGGGCAAACTACACGATATGCATGTACATGATATGTGTATGCACATGCGGCGTGCTAACCATGGCAAAACCACGTGAGAAACACAGCAAAATATAGACAAGCTGGCTCGCAATAAGGTGTGGCTGGCAGCAGCAACGACAAGCAGTCAAGTGACCTACCCATGCTTGCTTACTCTCCAAGAAAACTAGCGAAAAATTCACGGAATGTGCGTCCGAAGCCCTATGCTTTTGAGACACTGCACGGAATAAAAGGCTTTTTCGCACTGCATGTCATATGCAAATTGTTACGCAACTGTGTATGCTCTATTCAACGGAAAACACAAGAGGGCGCTCGCAATGCTTCGACAACTTTCGCATCGCTGTTTATGCTAAAAATATAAGACATCGACAAAGAAATATTTTACAGACGGGACCTGGCAGCATAATTACAGGAATTTAAGTCTGGCCGGTCACAATCATCCGGGATTAAAAATTGTGTAATGAAAAATATTCTCAAAAGACAAAAAAATTATCTTGGCAGCTCTAGACTGAGTGAGACAGTGGACAGGAGATGTTTACTTAAAAAAAATCCTTCACCAGTTCTTCAGAATGAAGTTGGACTATGATAATATGTACACATGGTCGAGAGCACGATAAAAGAATGTCCACCACTAGTATATGACTAGTGAAATGAGATGACCTCAATGGACCTTAAATCTAAAACTCCCAATTTGGCCAATGATCAGACATACGAAAGCCCTAACTAAATGAAAATCTGGCTATCTGTTTCTCAAAATAAAACATTCCCTAAAAAAACATCCATAATATCAGTATTAATTAAAATGGCAAGATAGTGTGGAATGGTGGGATAGAGAAAATGGTAAAAATATGGTCCATCTGTAGCATGTCGCTGGAGAAATAGAGATTACATTTATCTCAATTGGTCCAAGAAACCTAATTTCTCAAGATGATCATATACTACACTATCCTTCACTATAAAAAAATCCAAGCATCTGGCTAACACCTACATGTATTTTAAAAAGAAAATCCTCAACATATACTTACAGGGCCTCTTTCATCCCCAACCTAAACATGTTTATTTATCCACTTTGGGTTAGCTAATCCCAAAAATATAGTGGTTAAAACGAAATTAGGACATGAAGAGAATAAAATTTACCAAATACTGGCTACTATCAATACGGATAAAAGGACTGTACAGTTTAAGAATGACATACAGGGTCTGCATTAGATCTATCCTGGGTTTTAAATGTACAGGTGTCATTCCTCCAAAAGTCTCAAATCTAGAGCAAATACTCTACTTTCTGCGACTATGAATTCAATATGTTTCAACCAGAGACTACAACTAGTTATGTGAAAAAATCAATACACGGACAATACAAGTACAGGCAGCATGAGCAAGCAATTAGCATGCATCACCTTAACACGCATTCTACGCAGCGTCGGTAAAGAAACAGATACGATATGCTACAGCAGTTCGCGGATACGAGAGACTGAGCAACAAGCGGGTAGTAACTGCATTGAAGATAGCAGGGCAGGGAGCAGAGCATGAGGTACAGAAGCCAGAACTGTCCCTGGAAAGCTTAAACCTGCAGATATAAAAAGAAATAAACTACCACGGTGTTACTAAAATATTCACACAATATACGAGTATATACTCAAATGTGAAATATCTATAACGTCGACTCCAAGGCAAACTTGATTTTACGAAAATAGCTGATCTTCAATCGGACCAATCAAACAATCAATCTGTTCTATGTATGTGATAAAGCTGTTTCTAACATGCAAAACTTCCATTGTCAAAACGACATGCTCAATGGCTACAAGTTAAAATACAAATGAATATGCAATATTAAAATGTTAAAAATCTTGACTGCACGACACTGTTCCCAGTGAATATGTTTACAGTTCACCATCAGTGAAAGAGTTCCGTAGCTGAATACTAGCAGCACACTCCACGGCCGCTCGGCTGAAAAACAGGTAATGTGAAGAATGTCTCTCCAATCTGTCCCAGACGACGGTGCCAAACTGTGGGGAAGATGTGTGTAGCTACGTATAAAAATACTCTCACTTTCGACGAACATCTGGGCAGCTGTCTGTCCGGAGACTAGATGATGTAAAACGCACTGCTGCAGCAAACCACCCTTCTGATGAAAGACGCTTCTCTCAAGAAGGTTGTCATCGAAGATGATGATGATGATGATGATGATGATGATGATAATAATGACTGTCGTTTATATTTGATCAAATGTGTCACAAATAAGGATGTCTTTTATGACATCCTGCCGACTACGCCATTTTTTGCGACGAGGAAGGATCCTGCCGACTACGCCATTTTTGTAACCGAGCTGGAAAGGTTACGCAGAAATTTGAAAGTGACACTGGGTATATATTCCACTATAAATTGATCAAAATTTTATTACAAAAAAACGACAGTCATTCTTCAGCAGTCTGTAATAACAGAAAACAGAAGAATAGAAATTAATTTATTTACAAATATACAATGACTATGAATCCAATATTCAATTATTTAATTATTTGAAATAACCATCTCTCCTTATCCTTGGTTATCTTTTATCTCGAGAAATTGCTTTACTTGTTCTATAAACCTCAATTTCCATTGATTTGTTCCATAGAAATGTTTTTGCTGCGAATTTACAAGTACATTTCTTAGAGAGGCATAAAAATATTAAAGGCATAAAAATTTAATCAAGGAGAAATAATCTCCATAAGCACTTGCTATGCAATAATTTTACAACACATTAATCTCCAAATCTCCAAATCTCTAAATCTCCAATTTCCAATTTCCAAGGCACATTTCAAGCAATAATGTTTTACACACGTACCCAAATATTATGGATGCTGGATATGGGATACACTGGTCTACTCGAGAAGGCTTCTCTATTTGTGACCACTCAGGAACCACAGAACCACAAGCAGTAGCTGTAATAAAATTACTGTACATATTAAGTAATCTCATAAATACTAATAAATGTTTCGATGAAGGAATATTAAATAATCATCAGTGCCATCAAAAAGTTTCATCTCCACAGTACATGTGTACACATCCGTAGTTATTCTATATTGATGAATTTACAATGCATTTTATACCGTACATCTATATCTTAACATTTGTTTGTTTAAACAGTAATGCTCATAAAAAGAGTATTCAATATTCTGTATTCGTACATCCATCTATATGTCTCATGGTTTTATTTCAGGCTAAAACATTCTCTAAGTTCTCTTTCCATCCACGCTATCCAAATTTGAGTTCAATAAAGTGTATTGACCCTATAATTCAACATATTTAGGATCGAAGTATGTGCAAGTATACAGTCAATATTACAAGGAAATTCGGTATCGAAAATTCAAGTCATCTTATGCACAACAATCTTCATACAGACTTGGCTTTAAACCTGGGAGATTTATTTTATGGCATAAAAATGTTTCATACAAACTTGGCTTCCAACCTCGAGTATTCATGGCATAAAAATGTGTCGTAAAGTGCTATTTAAGATAACATCAAAAATTACGAAGTTGAAACACTTACCGGAGCAGTTGCGGCCTGTGTACCTATGCCTCGGGATGTTTGGGCAAACTACACGATATGCATGTACATGATATGTGTATGCACATGCGGCGTGCTAACCATGGCAAAACCACGTGAGAAACACAGCAAAATATAGACAAGCTGGCTCGCAATAAGGTGTGGCTGGCAGCAGCAACGACAAGCAGTCAAGTGACCTACCCATGCTTGCTTACTCTCCAAGAAAACTAGCGAAAAATTCACGGAATGTGCGTCCGAAGCCCTATGCTTTTGAGACACTGCACGGAATAAAAGGCTTTTTCGCACTGCATGTCATATGCAAATTGTTACGCAACTGTGTATGCTCTATTCAACGGAAAACACAAGAGGGCGCTCGCAATGCTTCGACAACTTTCGCATCGCTGTTTATGCTAAAAATATAAGACATCGACAAAGAAATATTTTACAGACGGGACCTGGCAGCATAATTACAGGAATTTAAGTCTGGCCGGTCACAGATATATTTGGCATAGGTTTTTTTTAAATGCAAAACAAAGAATCTAAGAGTGTCGTTGCAATCCCGAGATGCACAGAGACCAGAATTTGCCTACCAGGTCATGAGAAGTTGAAATAACCCTGGCTCTGGAAAATTAAGAAGTTGGTGTAGTGTGAAAATGAGACATTAAAATCAGAAGTTTTTTTTTTTTTTTTTAAATAACATTACAATTGTTCAAATACGGAGGGCATGATATGAACTTTCAGATGCCTAGAAGAATAAGTAGCAGGTTTGTGGAATTTTTTTGATACATTTCCTATTATTTGAATTATCAAATGTATATTTTCATTATTTTTTTATTTTAATTTTTGAAAAAAAAACAAGCATGGTGGGGGTGCAACCACAATAAAACAACCACTCTTAACCTCGTTCCCATGGTCTAACCTTAATACAATAGTAAAGACAGAGCAGCCAGACTGAGCTAGTGGGAGCGTACTGCTCCGTGTCATGGGGACGAGGTCAGACTTGCCGAACTCTTTCAAGTGACGTCACTGGAAAGCTCGCTTGGGGAACGGTGATATCCTTAGTGACGCATGTTTCGTGCCATTGTTGTCAGTAGTGCAGGTATTTAAATTTTTGTTGAAGAAATTGCTAGTTTTTTTAGTTTATCTGCTAGTTTGTTATCATTGGAGAATCTTTTATATGGACTTTGATAATGTATAAGAATGTTAACTCAGTTAAATGCATCATAAACACGATGCTGCTTGAGGCTTGTAAATTCGAATCTAGCCAAGAAAGACTTGGTCAATATGGAAAACAACTGGAATTAATTTAACTTTAAAATGTTTAAGTTCAGTTGGGTTCTGTATGCATTAAATCATGCTTATACCCATCATATATGATGTAGAATATGTTTATGACCTCGCGTTACCATTGGAGACTATGTAGCTATTAACAACTGCTGCTGGCCACTGTCATGTGGGCGTGGCCTTTCGGTAAGGGGGGGGTTGACAAATATCCATGAGTTCCCCATGTGTGGTCCGGAATCGACCACTTTTAATTAGTCTTATTTACCAAGGAATATGTGTCTAACCATACCACCTGCTGAAATGTTGCCTTGCCGATCATCTTCTGCGTCTCTCGTAACAAAAGGATACCCCCATACTCAGAGGCACTTTATCTTTTCTTTTCTTTTTTAAAGATAACCCGCTTCCAAACCAAAACTTTGATACAACATGTTGCCTTGGCAACAAATACTGAGTGCCAGCAAAAAACTGTGTAATTCTTACATTATAATTCCCGCGATCAAAATGCCATAAGTTGACTTGTGTAAGTTTAGGACTGCACTCGAAGTATCGAAATGTTCACAGTGCCAGCAAGCCTTTCATTGTGAACGTGCACGTAGTTCGAGTTCTAAAGTACACTGCGATCTACCGTTCCGACCCTCTTGGTTTCTCAAATTGGTTCAACATGGCAGTAACGTGGGAACATCGGTGTGTGTTGTGGGCCTTGGCGTCTGCTTCACTGCGTATGTTATCAATGCGTATTTCATCAACGACGCCACTTGGTTGTGCCGTGTTGCAGCAGGTATGGTAGGCCAATAGGCCATTATATGCGCTGTATGCTTGGGCATAATAATGTGGCACACTACAACTTGCCCAGTCATGCATGAGCGGCTGTTTTGTACTTTTGCTTGCACAATAATTTGAGGTCGCACTGAAAGGACACTTAAATTTGCAAACATTACACATTTGGTGTGAATCGTGAATTTGGTCTCGCATATTATGAGCCAACAGTTGCGACAAAGTGAATATTGTAGCAAATATTAATACTGTTACAAATAATTGCGACATCGTGAATGTAGTCGCCAACACTTGGGCTAATATGTGCAATATGTCCATCCGGAGCCACCATGCATGCACAATATTATCGCCACTATATGGGTACCAAAGTAAGTGAAAAAACTCTGTTAAATTATTAATGAACAGGTTCTTTGTGGACCACTTTATCCACAATCTAACCTCGTGACAATGTTCGCGTCAAGCTAAACTTTGCGTTTCACGTGCCTACCAGTTAGGCCTACGGTGAGCTAAATGATCAGCAGTTCGCACTTGGTAGGTCTTCATTTCAAAACGACACATTATGATATCGATGATATCGAAACTGTCTGGCTTTTTTTGGGGGGGGGGGCGGTTACCTGTAGAAGGACTTTGGAGAGCCTTTTGGGCCATCTGTTTCTCCAAACTTCAGTGGCAGAAAAATTCAGTCCATTTTTTGTTTAATAATGAACTTCTAGAATTAGCCAAACACAGACAGGTCGAATTTTTTTGCAACTGGCTGGTTTTGTTATTTTGTTGTCTTCAGGTTTCTTAGCGATTCTGGGCACCTTGTCCTCGGTCACAGCTTTTCACATCTCAACCCTCCGGTGCTCCGAAAGTCACACCCTCAAGACACTGTTGCTGCAGTACATCCTCTTCCAAGTTGCAACCCTTGCCACGCCATTCAGTTTGTATAAGCTTAAAAAGCTATGGAAAGAGCCACGCAAGGCGCAGGAGAAGTTTCTCCTAAAGCTGATCTCCCGCGACGCAGATACAGAGTACGGCAGACGATACTTGACAGGCATCCAATCACTGCAGGATTTCCGAGACAAACATCCACTCACCAAGTATGATCACTACCAGGATTACTTCCAGAGACTGGCAGACGGGGAAAAGAACGTCTGTGTGGCAGCCAAAGTGGACAGGTTTGGAATTTCCTCAGGCACCACGGGAAAGGGCAAGCTGATACCAATGGTATTTAATGACAGTGGGTTGGGACTCGTGGTCGTTTTACAGGCAGTGGGGTCGAGCCCCATACAGAAAATGGCTGGGTTGTACTGCAAACCGGCACAGAAGTTTACCAAGTCAGGACTGCCTATTGCACCAGCGGTATTCGTGCCTGACAATAGTTCCCTTGCAAAATTCATGGTAAGCACGCTCCTGAATTCACCATTTAGTGCCTTCCAGATTTCTACGGATTTCGAAGCCACCTACGTCCACCTTCTCTTCGCACTGACCGACAAAAACGTCTGCACGTTCAGTGCTCCATTCGCGTCACAGGTGTACAGGGCGTTCTCCATGCTGGAAGATGAGCAAGACATGTTCTTGGAGGATCTTTCTACAGGCAGGATCAATCCTAGACTGAACATTGATGCGGAGACACGACGTTCGCTGGATGCTGCCTTGGAGGCCAACCCAGCCAGGGCTCATGAGCTGAGAGCAGAGTTTGCTCGAGGTTTTGTTGGTATCCTTGGGCGAATCTGGCCGCATCTGAATTGCTTTGTGACCGCAGATATATCTGGCTATGTGCAGAAACTCAAAGCCAAATACACCAAAGGTGAGTAAAATACAGTTCGTGTAGTTACGTGTATAGAAAGCACTCAGAGACCTATGTGGCTAGATTAGGTGGGTTACAAGGCATATAGGGTCACTGGGTCAGTGCCACGCACACGAACCTGTGCACAGAGCGATCTGGTGAAAGTTTTACATGCATATATGAGTGAATTTTTTTTTTTAAATGTCCTGGATCCACACGCAGATGCCTATCACTTCCAAAATCTAATCGATTTGCACTTGTACCAAGGACCGTCCCTAAAACAATTCTCATGAAAATCCGCTCAGAACTTTTTGAAATATCCTGTTCACAGACAAACGCACCAACCAATCAACCAACCAACCACCAACACACAAAACCTAACCCCTTGGCGGAGGCACTAACATTGTACTGAGCTGTAAAAAAAAAAATAAGTGAAGCTATAGCACTGGTTCCCGATCCCTAAATTAGAATTGGGGAGGGAGCCAGTTTCAACCACTCTCATTTTTCAAAATTAATAACATCGATTCGTCTAATAGAGTAGGCCTACACGGAACTACAGTTTTCCAAACAGAAAAGTATTATATGAAATATAGTTTGTTGCCATTTTAATATTTTTTTAACTATGTTTAGTAAAGAGTGTAGACATACATGTCAATTAAATGGGATAACTTTATTTACCAGTCTATTGTTCTTCAATTCCAACAGCCAATGGGCTAAAATCAGATTTTTATATGGAGATCAGTGGCTGTCACATGTTCCTCGTGCTTTCGTAAGAGCTCATTTTTGACCCATTTTATCCATTTTATATTAGGCAGCCGTCTTTACACATACGCTTACGGCTGCACCGAAGGTTTAGTTTGCTACAACTTGTGGATGGACGGTAGACCGCCGCAATATGTGCTGAGCCCTAGTACAAACTTGACGGAGTTCATTCCTGAAGATCTCAGGTAGAAAACAAGTAATGACATAAACAATATGGTGATAGCACAAAATATCAATTAGTTCTTTCTTGAAACTTGGTAAGTCTATTGACCTTGATGTTATGTTAACAAGGTTATAAACTCTTTTCCATGAGTCATGCGCGTCGCATGAAAACCTGGCGCACACAGACTGTGAAAGTGAGATTTTCGGAAAGATAATCGATACCTAGTTTTTTTCACAACTTCGTTCGTTGACGTCATTGGTTTTTTTTTTAGAACACTTCCTGCTTAATGACACTTTCCCTATTTGATCTTAATTTTTATTTTACTGTAAACATAGCTTGTAATATTTTATTGCGATAAGTCCCGACTAGGCCTATTTCATTTTTAGGAAGAGGTAGGCCTATGTCCACAATACTGGAACTTGAGGTAAACGATGACACTTCAACGATATAGGTCATTCAAACAAAACTGAGCCTGGCAATGGACTATCTTACAAGAGCCAAAGAAAATGGAAATTTAATATTTTTAAGAATAAAACACTGAATCTACAGTTCATGATGAAGTGATATTTCAAGAGTAAGCGGATTACTGCAGTGTACATTTTACACAATTCAGATGCTTCGTATCAACTGAACACAAAAAATGAAATTTTAAAGTAATTAAAAATACTTGTATTTCATCTAGTGAGGAGGCAAATCCAAAGACTTTATTTCTGGATGAGATCGAGGTTGGAAAACGCTACGAGATAGTCATAACGACCGTAAGTGGGTTTTACCGCTACCGCATGGGCGACGTGGTGGAGGTTGTAGGTTTCCATGACAACTGCCCGGTGATTCAAGTGAAATACAGGTAAGCTTAGCGCCGATCTATGCAAAATGGCGTTGTGTAAATGAAATGTTTATATATGTATACAGTAAAAAAAAGCGAAACCCAAATGTCAGGACTATTGTTTTAGTGAAGTTCTGCATGTAGCACTTTCAAAATCTAGGATATGAAAGCCCAATTCATAAGCTTTCTATTGGTACAAGAATCATTCAAATTACTTGTGTACTTTTCAAGTGACGGAATTTTAAACACAACCACCGTTTTAAAGTTCTGTCCACGGATCACAAGAAGGTAAGTGTTCGTTCAGCAAAACGAAAACAAATCACACAGGGATGTGTGTAGATTGTTCTCGTTTTGCTGAAAGAACGCGCACCTTTTTTTTGGTGATCCGTGGACAGAACTTTAAAACGGTGGTTACGTTTAAAATTCCGTAACTTGAAATTGAAATTGCTACATGCAGAACTTCACTAAAACAATGGCCCGACATTTGGGTTTCTTTTTTTTTGTACTCACCCTGTACAACTCAATTTTATAAATCTGAAACAGGTAAAGCATCGGTGTTCAATGTACATCATTGAAAAAGTACTCAATTGATAATATTTAACTTTAACAATTGTTGACAATACTTGAATTGAAAATGCTCTTGTATACTCAGAACTGGTGAGCTGTTGAATTTACGGAGCGAGAAGATTGACAAGCTTGTAGTGAACAACGCCATACAGGAGAGCTTGACCAGCTGGCAAGGGGCGACGCTGGTGGAATGGACATGCGCAGAGAGTCCATTGATGTACGGGGACGCGGAGCATGGTAAATAAAATGATTGGCACAGTGTTTTAGAAATCTCGGTCTCGTTTCCAAACAATGAGAAAATTCCGTGAGTTTTCTTTTGTTTCCAAACAGTTGATTTTGACATGTTGTACCTACTGTTCATCGAGTTGGAATCAGTGGACGGCTTCCGTTTATCAGAGGAGCAGAAGTCATTGGTAATTATCCCGATTTTTTTTTTTTTTGGCATAGGCCTACACAGACACGCAATTTTGTTATCAATAATACGATTTCAAAGTAAGCTTGTAGCTCCTGCTTTAACAGCTGTCGCCATTTTTGCTGATGATTCTTTGGAGATAAAACATATCATTAACTCTTTTAAATGGCACTATTTTAATTCGTTATTTCCTTCAGTTCGACAAGTCACTTCGCAAGCAGCACGAGTTCTACGACCACTACCGCCAAGTTGGCACCATCTGCGAGGCTCGCGTGATGATCGTTCGCCCAGGATCCTTCAAGAAATTGCAAGACTTCATAATAGCGACCTCCACGGCCAGTTATAACCAGTTCAAGATGCCCAAAAAGCTGCGCACAAAGGCGACTCTTGATCTCATGATGAAGTGTGTAGTAGATGTTTAATATATGCCATAAAAACCTGTAGGCTTTATTGAACAACCCTTACTGTGTGTCAGATGTCACATGCACATTTTGCCAATGTTTTTTTTTTTTTACAGTACATAGAAAAGTGCTCATTCGCAAACAAAAGTGTGAATTATTATAGTGTGTCCTGGATATTTAATAATATCTGTCATAAAAACCTGTAGGCTTTATGGAGGAACCCTTGTTGTGTGTGTCTGATGTCACGTGCACGTTTTGCCAATAGACCGCTTGCAGACGCGATCGATAATTGACGCGCGAAGGTGCAAACGCCATGTTGTGGGACAAAATGTGCATGGATAGATTTACGCTTGTCCCACAACATGGCCTCGCGCGCCTTCGCGCGATGATTATCGAACGCGTATGCAAGCGGTTTATGGACCGATCCAGTAAGCACCGCCCAATGGTGTTCTGACCAATCACAGCCGCGATTTATGTCCGACGTGCGTGCACAAATGTCTGACATGCGTGCACGCGCGTATGAAGCGTGAGGCAGGAAAATGCAGCGTGACATTGGAGAGGAGCACGTGTTAATTTGCCCAGTGCGCAGTGGGCGGGGCTTACTGGATCGGTCCATTGTGTTGTTTCTTTGGGGTTTTTTTTACAGTGCAAAGAAAAGTGCTTATTCGCGAACAACAGTGTGAATCGTTAATAATAATAATAATAGGCATTTAAGAACGCTCTTATTAGTAAATAAATCACAGCGCTTACAGTATTATTATTACCCCTGATCATTGGGCCAATTAAAAACATTCCAAATACCATCTCAGCTCCCTGGGGAGTATACAGCTCGATGCTGCCTGTTAGTCACAAGCAAGCTTATTCAAGCTTATTCAATCACAATAACCATCTCTGCCCTCACAGGTACCCATTTACTCCTTGGTGGAGAGAAGCAATGAGTGACAAAGTGCCTTGCCCAAGGGCACACACACCATGACCCTCGGCTGGACTCGAACCCACAACCTGCAGAATTACCAACAGACCACCAATCCAGTGCCCTTAACCACGAGGGCACAGCACTCCACAATTATTATGAATGCAAAAGACTATAGTCAGTTACTTTAGAGATATATTTGGCATAGGTTTCCGTAAATGCAAAACAAAGAATCTAAAAGTGTCGTTGCAATCCCGAGATGTACAGAGACCAGAATTTGCCTACCAGGTCATGAGAAGTTGAAATAACACTGGCTCTGGAAAGTTAAGAAGTTGGTGTAGTGTGAAAATGAGACATTAAAATCAGAAGTGTTTTTTTTTTTAAATAACATTAAAATTGTTCAAATACGGAGGGCATGATATGAACTTTCAGATGCCTAGAAGAATAAGTAGCAGGTTTGTGGAATTTTTTTGATACATTTCCTATTATTTGAATTATCAAATGTATATTTTCATTATTTTTTTTATTTTAATTTTTGAGAAAAAAAAACAAGCATGGTGGGGGTGCAACCACAATAAAACAACCACTCTTAACCTCGTTCCCATGGTCTAACCTTAATACAATAGTAAAGACAGAGCAGCCAGACTGAGCTAGTGGGAGCGTACTGCTCCGTGTCATGGGGACGAGGTCAGACTTGCCGAACTCTTTCAAGTGACGTCACTGGAAAGCTCGCTTGGCGAATGGTGATTTTCTTAGTGACGCATGTTTCGTGCCATTGTTGTCAGTAGTGCAGGTATTTTCGTCTGTATTATATTGCTCAGTTTAAATTTTTGTTGAAGAAATTGCTAGTTTTTTTAGTTTATCTGCTAGTTTGTTATCATTGGAGAATCTTTTATTTGTACTTTAATAATGTATAAGAATGTTAACTCAGTTAAATGCATCATAAACACGATGCTGCTTGAAGCTTGTAAATTCGAAATGAGCCAAGAAAGAGTTGGTCAATATGGAAAACAACTGGAATTAATTTAACTTTAAAATATTTAAGTTCAGTTGGGTTCTGTATGCATTAAATCATGCTTTATACCCATCATATATGATGTAGAATATGTTTATGACCTCGCATTTCCATTGGAGACTATGTAGCTATTAACAACTGCTGCTGGCCACTGTCATGTGGGCGTGGCCTTTCGGTAAGGGGGGGGGGGTGACAAATATCCATGAGTTCCCCATGTGTGGTCCGGAATCGACCACTTTTTATTAGTCTTATTTACCATGGAATATGTGTCTAACTATACCACTTGCTGGAATGTTGCCTGCAACATGCCGATTATCTTCCACGTCCGTGGTAGCAAAAGGATATCCCATAATAATCATAGGCACTTTTTCTTATTCTTGTATTAATACAACCCGCTTCCATACCAAAACTTTGATACAGCATTGGCCCTTGGCATCAAATACTGAGTGCCAGCGAAAAACTGTATAATTCTCACTATACATTGTGATTCCCGCGATCAAAATACTAAAAGTTGACTTGAGTAAGTCTATTAAAGACTGCCACTCGAAGTATCGAAATCCAAAGACTGAAGTTCACAGTGCCAGCAAGCCTTTCATTGTGAACGTGCACGTAGTACCAGTTCTATAGTACACTGCAATCTACCGTTCCGACCCTCTTAGTTTCTCAAATTGGTTCAACATGGCGGTAACGTGGGAACATCGGTGTGTGTTGTGGGCCTTGGCGTCTGCTGGTTTCACTGCGTATGTTATCAATGCATATTTCATCAACGACGCCACTTGGTTATGCCGTGTTGCAGCAGGTATGGTAGGCCAATAGGCCATTATATGCGCTGTATGCTTGGGCATAATAATGTGGCACACTACAACTTGCCCAGTCATGCATGAGCGGCTGTTTTGTACTTTTGCTTGCACAATAATTTGAGGTCGCACTGAAAGGACACTTAAATTTGCAAACATTACACATTTGGTGTGAATCGTGAATTTGGTCTCGCATATTATGAGCCAACAGTTGCGACAAAGTGAATATTGTAGCAAATATTAATACTGTTACAAATAATTGCGACATCGTGAATGTAGTCGCCAACACTTGGGCTAATATGTGCGATATGTCCATCCGGAGCCACCATGCATGCACAATATTATCGCCACTAATGGGTACCAAAGTAAGTGAAAAAACTCTGTTAAATTATTAATGAACAGGTTCTTTGTGGACCACTTTATCCACAATCTAACCTCGTGACAAAGTTCGCGTCAAGCTAAACTTTGCGTTTCACGTGCCTACCAGTGGGGCCTACGGTGAGCTAAACGATCAGCAGTTCGCACTTGGTAGGTCTTCATTTCAAAACGACACATTATGATATCGATGATATCGAAACTGTCTCGCTTTTTTTTTGGGGGGGGAAGGGGCGGTTACCTATAGAAGGACTTTGGAGAGCCTTTTCGGCCATCTGTTTCTCCAGACTTCAGTGGCAGAAAAATTCAGTCCATTTTTTGTTTAATAATGAACTTCTAGAATTAGCCAAACACAGACAGGTCGAATTTTTTTGCAACTGGCTGGTTTTGTTATTTTGTTGTCTTCAGGTTTCTTAGCGATTCTGGGCACCTTGTCCTCGGTCACAGCTTTTCACATCTCAACCCTCCGGTGCTCCGAAAGTCACACCCTCAAGACACTGTTGCAGCAGTACATCCTCTTCCAAGGAGCAACCCTTGCCACGCCATTCATCTTGTATCAGCTTAAAAAGCTATGGAAAGAGCCACGCAAGGCGCAGGAGAAGTTTCTCCTAAAGCTGATCTCCCGCGACGCAGATACAGAGTACGGCAGACGATACTTGACAGGCATCCAATCACTGCAGGATTTCCGAGACAAACATCCACTCACCAAGTATGATCACTACCAGGATTACTTCCAGAGACTGGCAGACGGGGAAAAGAACGTCTGCGTGGCAGCCAAAGTGGACAGGTTTGGAATTTCCTCAGGCACCACGGGAAAGGGCAAGCTGATACCAATGGTATTTAATGACAGGGGGTTGGGACTCGTGGTCGTTTTACAGGCAGTGGGGTCGAGCCCCATACAGAAAATGGCGGGGTTGTACTGCAAACCGGCACAGAAGTTTACCAAGTCAGGACTGCCTATTGCACCAGCGGTATTCGTGCCTGACAATAGTTCCCTTGCAAAATTCATGGTAAGCACGCTCCTGAATTCACCATTTAGTGCCTTCCAGATTTCTACGGATTTCGAAGCCACCTACGTCCACCTTCTCTTCGCACTGACCGACAAAAACGTCTGCACGTTCAGTGCTCCATTCGCGTCACAGGTGTACAGGGCGTTCTCCATGCTGGAAGATGAGCAAGACATGTTCTTGGAGGATCTTTCTACAGGCAGGATCAATCCTAGACTGAACATTGATGCGGAGATACGACGTTCGCTGGATGCTGCCTTGGAGGCCAACCCAGCCAGGGCTCATGAGCTGAGAGCAGAGTTTGCTCGAGGTTTTGTTGGTATCCTTGGGCGAATCTGGCCGCATCTGAATTGCTTTGTGACCGCAGATATATCTGGCTATGTGCAGAAACTCAAAGCCAAATACACCAAAGGTGAGTAAAATACAGTTCGTGTAGTTACGTGTATAGAAAGCACTCAGAGAGCGCACACCTCCACCAAGGCTGAACAATTCCACGCCATATTGTTAGTACACCCATACAGCCTCGCATATCCAATGGGCTTCCATATTTTATTGCACATTTAAAACATCTTTATACTCAAATATTTTGTACATGCCTGTCTTTATCTACTTTTCCACTCCCCCATTGTACAAAATGGTATAGTCAATTGACCTATGTGGCTAGATTAGGTGGGTTACAAGGCATATAGGGTCACTGGGTCAGTGCCACGCACACGAACCTGTGCACAGAGCGATCTGGTGAAAGTTTTACATGCATATATGAGTGAATTTTTTTTTTTTAAATGTCCTGGATCCACACGCAGATGCCTATCACTTCCAAAATCTAATCGATTTGCACTTGTACCAAGGACCGTCCCTAAAACAATTCTTATGAAAATCCGCTCAGAACTTTTTGAAATATCTTGTTCACAGACAAACGCACCAACCAATCAACCAACCAACCACCAACACACAAAACCTAACCCCTTGGCTGAGGCACTAACATTGTGCTGAGCTGTAAAAAAAAAAGAAGTGAAGCTATAGCACTGGTTCCCGATCCCTAAATTAGAATTGGGGAGGGAGCCAGTTTCAACCACTCTCATTTTTCAAAATTAATACCATCGATTCGTCTAATAGAGTAGGCCTACACGGAACTACAGTTTTCCAAACAGAAAAGTATTATATGAAATATAGTTTGTTGCCATTTTAATATTTTTTTTAACTATGTTGAGTAAAGAGTGTAGACATACATGTCAATTAAATGGGATAACTTTATTTACCAGTCTATTGTTCTTCAATTCCAACAGCCAATGGGCTAAAATCAGATTTTTATATGGAGATCAGTGGCTGTCACATGTTCCTCGTGCTTTCGTAAGAGCTCATTTTTGACCCATTTTATCCATTTTATATTAGGCACCCGTCTTTACACATTCGCTTACGGCTGCACCGAAGGTTTAGTTTGCTACAACTTGTGGATGGACGGTAGACCGCCGCAATATGTGCTGAGCCCTAGTACAAACTTGACGGAGTTTATTCCTGAAGATCTCAGGTAAAAAACAAGTAATGACATAAACAATATGGTGATAGCACAAAATATCAATTAGTTCTTTCTTGAAACTTGGTAAGTCTATTGACCTTGATGTTATGTTAACAAGGTTATAAACTCTTTTCCATGAGTCATGCGCGTCGCATGAAAACCTGGCGCACACAGACTGTGAAAGTGAGATTTTCGGAAAGATAATCGATACCTAGTTTTTTTCACAACTTCGTACGTTGACGTCATTGTTTTTTTTAGAACACTTCCTGCTTAATGACACTTTCCCTATTTGATCTTAATTTTTATTTTACCTAAAACATAGCTTGTAATATTTTATTGCGATAAGTCCCGACTAGGCCTATTTCATTTTTAGGAAGAGAAATGTCCACAATACTGGAACTTAAAGTAGACGATGACACTTCAACGATATAGGTCATTCAAACAAAACTGAACCTGGCAATGGACTATCTAACAAGAGCCAAAGAAAAAAGAAATGTAATATTTTTAAAAATAAAACACCGAATCTACAGTTCATGATGAAGTGATATTTCAAGAGTAAGCGGATTGCTGCATTACGTACATTGTACACAATTCAGATGCTTCGGATCAACTGGACACAAAAAATGAAATTTTAAAGTAATTAAAAATACTTGTATTTCATCTAGTGAGGAGGCAAATCCAACGACTTTATTTCTGGATGAGATCGAGGTTGGAAAACGCTACGAGATAGTCATAACGACCCTCAGTGGGTTTTACCGCTACCGCATGGGCGACGTGGTGGAGGTTGTAGGTTTCCATGACAACTGCCCGGTGATTCAAGTGAAATACAGGTAAGCTTAGCGCCGATCTATGCAAAATGGCGTTGTGTAAATGAAATGTTTATATATGTATACAGCCAATAAAAGCGAAACCCAAATGTCAGGACTATTGTTTTAGTGAAGTTCTGAATGTAGCACTTTCAAAATCTGGGATATGAAAGCCCAATTCATAAGCTTTCTATTGGTATAAGAATCATTCAAATCACAAATGTACTTTTCAAGTTACGGAATTTTAAACACAACCACCGTTTTAAAGTTCTGTCCACGGATCACAAGAAGGTAAGTGTTCGTTCATCAAAACGAAAACCAATCACATAGGGATGTGTGTAGATTGTTCTCGTTTTGCTGAAAGAACGCACACCATTTTTGGTGATCTGTGGACAGAACTTTAAAACGGTGGTTATGTTTAAAAGTCCGTAACTTGAAATTGAAAGTGCTACATGCAGAACTTCACTAAAACAATGGTCCCGACATTTGGGTTTCTTTTTTTTTTACTCACCATGTACAACTCAATTTTATAAATCTGAAACAGGTAAAGCATCAGTGTTCAATGTTCCAGATACACTTTTTGTACATCATTGAAAAAGTACTCAATTGATAATATTTAACTTTAACAATTGTTGACAATACTTGAATTGAAAATGCTCTTGTATACTCAGAACTGGCGAGCTGTTGAATTTACGCAGTGAGAAGACTGACAAGCTTGTAGTGAACAACGCCATACAGGAGAGCTTGACCAGCTGGCCAGAGGCGACGCTGGTGGACTGGACATGCGCAGAGAGTCCCTTGATCTACGAGGACCACCAGGAAGGCAAGGATTAAAACTTTCAAACTAACAACATTTGACATCATGTTCCAATTGTTGAAAAAAAAAACAATAAATTGAAAAAAAATAATAAAGGCAATCCTGGCCACCTAAAAGTTAATATCAAATAAACATGTACACTTTAAACTATTTCAAGAAAAATACCCGCTTTCGTTTTCTCTTATGAATTTCAGGACGACTGGATTCAGGACGACTGGAGTCAACTTGTGGTCGTCTTTTTATGTGTTATTTTCGTTATAGATGAGAATGTTTACGTTTTAAACCAAAACGTCTCTAATATTTTCAACACAGTAAATTAAATCCATTGTTGTTTTGTCTCTAGATGTCAAGTATGACATGTATTATCTGCTTTTCCTCGAGTTCGAAACAGAAGTGCGTCTGTCGACGGACCAGAAATCTATGGTAATACAACTTTAGAGTCAATACCATTCAGGGGAAGGGAATGATTAATGTAACTGATTTTGCCATGCTAAGTTCTGCTGTTGCTGATGCTGCATGCAGTTGTCCTTGTAATGTTTCCTGTTCTTGTTGCTGTTCATGTCACTACTCTACTTGCTTCTTTTACTACTGCTTAAAATAAGTCTCTGTTAGACACCTGCAAACGTCAAGGTGCTGCAGTTTTGGGGTGTTTTATCTGTATGTTGCAATCAGTTCGAGATGTTACGAGAGCAGCTGCTGCTTTTGCTGCTTTCGATGCTTCTCCAGCTGCGGCTAATGATGTTGCTGCCTTTGCTGCAGTTGTTGTTGTTGCTGCTGCTGTTGCAGCTGCTTTGCATGACTTTTACAGATTTTCGCGTGAACACCAATGACATTTTTTGTTAATTTTATTTCATGTTCTCCATGCAGTTCGACCAGTCCCTTCGCAAACAGCACGAGTTCTACGACCACTACCGCCAAGTTGGCACCATCTGCGAGGCTCGCGTGATGATCGTTCGCCCAGGATCCTTCAAGAAATTGCAAGACTTCATAATAGCGACCTCCACGGCCAGTTATAACCAGTTCAAGATGCCTAAAAAACTGCGCACCAAGGCGACCCTTGACCTAATGATGGGCAGCGTCGTTGATAAAGCTGCTTGACGGGAGATTCGATATCTGTAGGGGTTTGTACTATATGACACATAGGTATGACAACTTTGTGCATAAGACTTACGCCCTCAGCGTTTAAATGCAAAGCATGCACCGTCCGCGATGCGTGCGCGTTCCTAAGCCGCTACCACTTTGTTTATTTTATTATAACCACGGTTGACAAATAGAAATAACATTGATTACGTATAAGAATACATATGTAGAATCGTGCCTATACTCAAAAAGTGTAACGTTTCAACATCAGCAGCGATTTTTATCAATATTTCCAGCAGCTTGGAAAATCCTAAGGATTCTGGACGTCATAAGCCGTTTCACGGATACCGCCCTTCTTTGTGGTCACGTGGTATTTTCCGGGGGGGGGGGCGTTTAAAAAAAAATACGTCCCATCAGGCTCAGGAAAAAACGGTAGGATGGGACGTATTTCTATTAAAATGCCCCGGGAGATTACCACGTGACCACACAGATGGCGGTATCCTTGAAACGGCTTATGTGAGCAATTTTGTTAAAACACTACATTGGAATAAATTATTGGGGGGCGTCTCCCGACTACGGGAAGATAGTAGGAGAGAATCTCCTTAAGTTATCCGCCCATGTCTTTGGCATTAACCCTAACATGAGATTGACGCCCACTAATGTCAGAACGGCTCGACGACTAAATAGTTCACCTTTAACAGGCACGATAATCCACCTTTGAACTGTTTCTAAATGTAAATGTTGGCATGTAGGCCATGGCAAGCTCACTGGCACGACCAAACGAGAAGACAAAAGATGACAAGGAGTGCAACATTTATCAAACAGTAATATATTTCATGCCAAGAAGACAAGAAATGGCATACATCAACAATAAATACTTATAGAAATAAATAATTTTACAGTACAAATCGTTTTTATAAAAATAAATATTATAATTTTTATGTATATTTTGTAACGTCTCCTACATGTTTCCATGGCGTCAGCCTGTCGGTTGCATGAAATTGTTGTTATAAAACTTGCACAGGATTTCAATGATATAAAAAATTAGTGCAGAATACTAGAGTTAATAAGAGAAAAGGGTCAATACGATTATATTGAAATCATTTAATCTTCTATATATGTAATAAATATATTAATTTGGTCATCATTCTTTTCTATAATACCTAGTTACATGTACAATTGAGTCGTATGTTTAATAATTTGCATTCTATATCAGTCGAAAAAACAATCCACACATACTGAATACCAATATAAATAGTATTGCAACGCTGAAGCATAGTAATATCAAACTGGAATAGAAATAGGACCTAAAGTTACAATATTTACATGAATTGCATTAATTAAGCTAACAATTTTACTCAAGTCTGAACTTTAAAGTCGTTTTCTACCATGAAGTTGTAGTTTTGGCTGGCTTAACTAGTTAATCAAATGAAACTAATACTACGCGCTAAAAACTAAAGATTAACATTTGTGTAGGAGTAAATGTACATTTTTTTCGCGCGGCTATAAGCAGCTTTAGTAAGTTTTCTTAATTTAGTATTTTTTTTACAAAGAACAAACTTATTACGTGACGTATGCTATTCGAACGTAGCTGATTGGTTACATTTCCATGTTGTCTGCGGCTATTCTCAGTAACTGTTAAAAAAAAAAAATGGAACATTTGATAAGAAATAAGAACACATCAGAAATTTATGTATTATCTATCCACGCACGGTAATTTTGGCGCGTTGTCGCCATTTAACGAGCAATTCGTCTGAACGGATACACTGAATAACAATAAAATATTGAGATCGTTGTCAAGCAGGAACAATGCAAAGCATCTGATTATATCATTATTTACATGCTCCATGTATTGTCGTCAGTTTAAAAGTTTAAAATGAGGTTAACTGCATACTGATTGGCCTTTACAGTTTTCTGCCAGTGCTCTTCATCATATTCAATTTTTCTCAAAACAATTTTTCAATTTGTCTCATAAACCACAAAGGAAAACCGTTTCCCTTTTTTTTTTTTTAAGATTAAATTCTATTTTTCGGGGTGAAACTCAAATAAAAAACTGCACGGTGATGACAACTTTAAGATCTGGTTTTGTTTAATGATGAGAGAAAAAGATGATTAAACAATGAATTACCTTAAAGATACGTTCCTGCCACGCTGGCGTCAGTTTCTGGTAAACATCGTCGGGAGAGCTAGGGATGACACTCTGTTCGTTGATAACGTCATTCTCCTCCTGTGACTGGAAAGGAATATGAGGTGTTGGTCGGTTGTTTTTAGGTTTGTTTTGTTTGTGTTCGTTCAAAGAACCTACGGATGTTAGACTTAGTTTGTTTCATTCTGTAACCAGTCCTTTTCCTTCTCAGTGTAGTAAACGTTGGGTCAGATTTGTCCTGAAGCTTTTCCAGGTCAAAATATGACACTTCTCTGTGTCACTTTTCCGGACCTCTACCTAGAAAAGTGTCATTTCGGATTTGACCTAACAATTCTCCTTGACACCGGGACTTTTAAGAGTGCCGATGTCATATGAAATCCGACTCCTGTGAACATCGGAAGGAATGCTCGATATAGATTCTGTGGTTTGTTAATCTAACATGGAATAATATCGCAATACAAACCTAACCGTATAGTTATGATGCTTGCTGGGAATTGTGGGTGTTTTAATCTTATTTCAGTCGTTATTTATTGGCCCCCTTGTGATTATTGGATTAAGGCTCCTGTCAGGGAGGAAAGAGTCGTTTAAAATCTCTATTAAAATATAAAAAATATAACGAAAATATAAACACCTTTTTGTCGCGTCTTGAAAACAGTTTCTGCAGAATCAAAGTTGCTGGTTTGTCAGGGAGAGTTCGCTTTCTTCTACCTGGAAAATAATGAGAAGAGATCTCGAGTAAGGATCTAAACGATATGACCTTGATCAATCCGAAACGAATACAATGAAAACTTTGAGAAATCGGCATTGGAAAGACAGTCAAAAGATGAATGAAAAAAGAAGAAGAATGTTATCGTAAGAACCGAGATATTTTTTTTTTTTTTAAGTATTCAGAATTTGGTAATTGACCCTTAACCTTTAACCCCTTAATTGATTAGGTTTTTTTCCTGCTGGTATGAATGCACATTTTGTGTATGGACTGATTTTCATTCGGGAGCGGGATCAGTTTAGGAGGCTGAAGTCCAATTTACAAACTTTTTGAAAACTAGGCCCTTCCCGGCACAGCGCCGAAGTAACTTTAATTCTGAATTATCATTAATTGAGAGGGAAAAAATGACAAGTGAAAAGAGATACCGCCAACAACTTTACTTAGAATTAAGCATTGCCTGTCTTGATTGTTAAATGTTGCCTGGAGGGTTGATTGGTCAATTTTGCTACAGATGATTCGGGTCAACTTACACTCGTGTGCTGTCTGGGTATTCACACAATCACCAAACAACTCAAGGCGTTCTGGTTCTGTACATCCATCTATTTATACGTGGAATAAAACACATTAACCATGATTCAGTTTAGATCTTTCATCGACAATAAATCATATTAATTTTGTTATCCACGATATTCCCTGGCATATTACACCTTCTTATTTTCGAAGACTGAACATTCTCTCTATTCGTTTAAAAAGCAATTACTCCCACGGACTGAAACAAGCCACCAGGCGTTTTATAAACGAGTGAAATTCATACAACTGGGTAGATCAAGTTTCCACTGGAGTGACCATTTCTTTCCAGAGAATTTCAATCTCATATTCCATAGTTTTACACTTTAGAAATTAGACAGTATAGACTTATTTCAAGGTGCATAATAGACAAATCTAACCGAACCATAAAGGAAAGAGTTTCAGGGGGACTAGCCACAAACTTGTGGAGGATGATCTTAAAATTAAGAGATTTTGCGAGAATACAAAATTGTTTGCATTTCGTTTTAGAGCTATAATAACGTGTGTCGCGTTCCAAATAAGTTCAATATGATGACAAAATTATCAATTTCTGTGAGAAATATGATCTCCATTTCTTGTTAATCGATTGTGCATATTTCCATTTGACAAAGAGCTCGAGGTCGGTGTATAGACTATTGTTGGAATGTTTAGAACCCAGACTTCTCAACCAACGTGAAATTACGAGATTTAAACCACCCCAATGGGAATACAATTCGCTATTACAGTTTGAAAGAAATCGGATGAAAACGTAAAGAGGGAACTCACGACATTGTGTCCTAACGACTAGTTTGCAGTACTTGCCAACATCACATTGGTCTGAAAAAAGAAAATGTAACACATAAAATCTAAAAGCATTACAATTAACATTTCCTATAATGTTCGTTAGCACTCGAACTCACAACCTACCGCTTACCACAGCAGACCACAGCAGCCCAGATTTGAGCAACGATTCTACAATCATTGTCCATCTGTTGTCTTTTTAATATATTTAATTATGCACAATTTATTCTCTGATCGCAAAGCCATAAAGCAAACTAATACAGCGTATTGTTAAACTCACCTTGACTTACGACAAAAACAAACATGAATGCAAAGCAGCCCAAGATACTGATCCAGTTTGCCATCTTCCTAACAGTAATGAGCCCAGGCCGGAGAACTTATTAACAGCCACAAAGTTGCCGAGTTGCAAAGCTTCAAACGATTGACGAGTATTTGTGAAAGTTTTCTGCGCGAGTGAAAAACAAGGACGGCTCTCCTCCAAGTCTGATAATAAACTGATAAATAAAAACTCAAGTATGCAAAACGAGTGCTCCTCACAAACTGATGTGAAAACGTTCTCACTTGCTGTTTTTATACTTTCACATACAGCTAATTCTATAACAGGACACTGTGGGATCATTTTTTTTTAGTATTTGGGGGGAATTCTCTGAGCTGTAAGAGCAAAGACCTAATTTTAAAAATGCTCGCAATATGCATGCGGGGCGGGAGGGGAACATTTAGCGCAAAAAACTCGGTTGCTCCCCTATCCCTGTTGCGGCCTACGTGAAGTCAAGTCAAAAAACTATGAACATTTAAGCGTTTTCCTTGAAAATTCTGGTTGTCCGGACGACAGGAATAACACCTTACAAAATAGTGTCTGCGTGAAACAAAAACGTTTCCTTTTTCAGGAAATTCCTGAAAATAGGGAAGTCAGTACTTACGGTCCTCAAATTAAACGCAAACATTGTTGCAATACTCGTAGCGTGTACTCCTACTCCTGCTTAAATCCGTACTCGAACTCGCACTTGTACTGTACTTTTTTAAGGCATTCATACTCAGTAGTACCGTACTCATTCTCACCTGAAAAAAGACAGCGGCGTTGGAACGCGGGATTTTAAAGCTTTTTTGTTGTGGGGGTCCCGATATAATAGGACACCGCCGTTGTGTATGGTGTGTTTGTCGTGAGAGTTTTTTCTCTATGGCACCGCGATTGCGTGCGGAGGGACTTTCCCTCAATGAGAAATAATTTTTGCGTAGAGTGCAGTGGGTGATCGATTAGTCTAGACCGGACAATTATTCCCGACGCTCACGTCTTAAATTGTAGGTCAGGCAGCCTCCGTGGCTAAAATAAACATGACGACATTAATGGCCCTTTTTCAAACCCTTTTTCCGATTTCGCTTTATCACTTGTAGCTTTTAATGTTCTGATCAAATTTATTTTATCACTACAAGATAAAATGCATTATTCTGTACAGACACACACTGTTGATCGGTCACGTATTTTTCTTCAATCTGCTGGTTGTTGCCGTGGGGTACGTGCGCGCTGTAAACAGTAGCCTACTCGGTGGGTGCGGCCGGGGAACACCTGGCCGCCCCAGATATTTGCGGACGTGATATTTTGAGGTCAGTATGAAGCCCGGGAAGGGACAGGGTGGTTTTTTTTTTGGAATTTCCTAATTCGTTCGCACGAATTACTAATTCGTTCGCACGAATTGCTAATTCGTTCGCACGAATTGCTAATTCGTTCGCACGAATTGCTAATTCGTTCGCACGAATTGCTAATTCGTTCCCACGAATTAGTAATTCGTGCGAACGAATTAGCAAACTCCAAAAAAAAATTCCACCCTGTCCCTTCCCGGGCTTCATAGGTCAGAGAAATTGTTCATATCGCTAAAATGATATGGATTGCGCGCAAAAGGGAGTAAATGAAACATTTGATACAGTGTATTAAGTCAAGTTCATTAATTAGGCCCAGAAAGCTCACTTCGGCTTAGCTTTTCGAAGCCGCTATACATGGAAAATAAACCCACCCCCTCCCTTCGCCCCCGATATTAAGAGATTAAAAATTATTGTAACGATATGGGTTTTTGGGTTTAAAATAATGAATAATTCATAAGGAGCATGAATAATGCAATGTTATTTTCTGGCTGTTCCTTTTAGTGTACTTACCCCGCCAGCCTAATTGCCCTAGTTAACAAGTTTGGACATATGTTCGTCGACATTTAGGTCATTTGATAATTCTATCTTGAGAATGATTATTTGGTAACAGTATGTCATCATCATTGTCAGTAATCAAAGTCAACACTCCTTCTGAGTCAATTTTATGCGCGACGAGGGGTTGTGGTCATTGCATTACGGTAAGAGCGCTACCGCTCACATGGTTTGTCCTCTTGCGAGCGGGCCGTGAAAGAAGCTCAGACCGAGCCAACCTTTGTCTAAAAGTCGCCCACTTTTCCCTCATTTTTGGGGTAAGTTGGATTCTAATTAAGTATTGAGTAGATCAGGTAAGGGACATAGAAGAGGTTGGTTGATATGATTATTGTCAAACTGATTGATTTTTATAGTTTTTAGGATGTTAGTTTTGTGTGAAAGTGTCAAAACTTTTCTAGAGTTGAATGACCGTTTTCGTACACATTCACTGTACAATGCATTATATAATGGCGACATTGAGTTCAGCATTGTGTACATTCAGTACGTAGTGTGCGTATGCACAGCACAACGTTGAATCTCGACCACACTGTGGAATTCGACCTACTCGCTTTATTTCGAAATGTTGTTCGTGTATGTCGCATTGTTTATTGGTGCAGGGGACCTTTTATGATAGAAGCTATTTCCTTAAATATGTTCCCCGTGTATGCTATTTGTATTTTTATGTATTTTAATTTATAGCTGAGACATTGCTGTCACAAGCTTTGAAGGTTGACATCTCAAGTGCATTACAGGCCTTCTCTATTTTATATCAGGGTAAGACTGTAATTCTCTTTGTATGCTTGATTAAGTAGTCATCCTATTTAGTATTCTTTTGGAGTGATCATGACACTGTCTACAAAACAACTATATTATTTATAGTTTATGCTGTGTAATTAAAATAACTGTTTATTAATGTAATCCAATGACTTTGGAACAAGACTTACAAAAGTTTAAGATCAATTCATTTTATTCATGGTCAACAGGGTCTTCTTTTATGGTCTTCATTGTCGTCTTATTGGAATCTTTGTTCGGATCTTCATTTGGATTATTTTGTATAATTGGAGAAAGTGAATTAAATTAAAACTTAATCAAGTGAATCAGTGTAAACAACCGTCTGAGTGTTCCAGTTCAATTCTACTTGCTTTCCACCTTACTCTATCTTCATGAGGGTGAACCTGACCACCCTTATCATCGTTGGGGTAGCCACCTCTCAACAAATTTTGGCGTCGTAGACAGGATCAAGGTGGGACTTCAAGCAAGCAAGATTAATCTTCGTCATCTCTGATTTACAGAATTGTTTAGTGTGTATTTCTTGTTCTCAGACCCCTGATATATTTGTTGTTCTTTCCCTTTTTGGGATATGTATAAAAAAATGTTGGCCATGTAGGTCAATTTATTGTCCGCCTGTTCCCCAATGTGGCCGACCATTTTTCATGGAGCATATTCCCTCCGTTATTATGATTCAAGTCTAAGCGTCGGCCATATCCATGTGCTGGTGGACTGATCCCTGATCTTGGCATCATTCAAGTCAAGACTACATCTCTCTTCCAGCATGTGAATTTATTGTGTATGGCTTATTAATTGTGGTAGCATTTTCCAAATTACACTGACCACATATTTATTTGTAAACAATTGACCACATATGCACTAGTTATTGTGTCAGGAAGTGTTTGAAATTTCTTGTTTATTATAACAAGCTTGACAATCGTGGTCCTTGAGGTTTAAGTTGAGACTACCACTGACGCATATTTGCAAGTACATTTGTACTTGAGTCATTTGTGATCATTCAGATTTGATATTTTAGTGTCTGCACATATGTAATATACATACAGTGTTAATTGACCACAGGTACTGTTAATTGCAGACTACTTTGAGTGTTTTCTACATTGTATTACAATGTATTGAGTTGTACATGAGAGAGTCTTGTAATGGCAGAGGGCAGGATTTGTCGGTCTCATTATTGAGGATTCATCACTTTGTAAGCTGTTATTTCTATGGGAACATGTGTATGTTTAAATTCCCTCTCTAAAACAGCATTGTGTGCCAACTTGATTGGTATCTTTGTATGTATGATCCTCATTAGTGCTTTCACTTAGTATTTAGAGGGCTGTGAATTTTCGAGTCCCTCTTTGTTTTTTGTGAAGCAATATTTTTAATGATTGACAGGTCCATTGCTCCAGTCCCTATTGATTTGTGACCGTGTGTATCGACCCTCTTTGTCTCCAACTAGTGGAGAGTCTATGTAAGTTTGGGCGAATTTTCTGTGGTCCTAGACCCGGTTTGTTTGGTCACTTGTTGTTTAAATATAAAACCACCATGTCATTGTTTTGATTCCCTCCTGTTTGATGTGGGAAATTTACTGCAGCTGAACTATTGCAGAATTTATGTTCCTTAGTAGGTAACTATGTAATCTTGTGTACAGATTACACATGGACATTGGTGTTGTATAAATCAACGTGAGGATTAGCCATACTATTATTTAATCAAAGTTGACATTCCTTCACATATTTTTGTTTGTGTTATTGTAGCCATTGGTTAGGCTGTCAGTCATAATGGCATCTACAGAAGCCCTTATGGATATCATAGTACAGTCACAGAAGGCTCTGACTAGTGTTCTCCAAACATTAATTTGTGAAAACATTCCAACAGTGGATATTTCCATATTTTGTGGCCGACCTAACAATGAAGGGGATCTCACCCTTATGGATTGGTTGGATGATGTTGAAACATACTGTAGGGAATGTCATCTTGAGAATACGGCCAAAGTCAATGTAGCTATTGATCATTTAGGTGGCGTTGCCAGAGAGGAAGTCTTTTGTAGTCCTCCTGAATATCGTAAAGACTTCTCAAAGATTGTTGGAATATTGAAAGCACGATTTGGTTCCCATGAAACCGTTCATTCTCTCCGGAGCATGTTTTATGCTCGGAAGCAGAAACAAGATGAATCATTAGCTGATTTTGGTCGTGCTTTGATGTTGCTGTATGATCGGATAGAAAAAGTAGCCTCGAATCCTGAAGAAGGTAAAGCTCTTGCTTGCCTTCGAGAAAGAAGTCTGAGGGAACAGTTTATTGGGGGAGCATTGGATTCATGTGTGCGATTAGAGTTGCGCAGATTAGGAATGAAATATCCTGACCTCACATTCTATCAATTTCGAGACGTGGCTCTTGGGTTGTTTGTAGATTTGAACAAAGCAGCAAATTGCTCGATTTCTGTTGACCCTTATTTTGATCATCCAGTTACCGCTGTAGCGGAGCAGAGTACAAATTGCCCAGGTGACACAATACCTGAGCAGGGGCAAACCAGTGAGCATATCAGAGATATCCCCAAGCCACCAAGTGTTGACCATTCGCAGCAGTCGTTGCGATCTCCCAGTTGTTCACACTGTTTAAAGCAAGGCCATGTTGCTCAAACTTGTATCCAGCATCAATGTCATGAACTTGTAGATGCTAACTATAACCAAGGCCTAGTGAGCAGTTCTTGTGAAACGGGTTCTGATTTCCCTGAATTCGCAATGCCTGCATTGAACATTAAAGCGCAGGAAAAAGCAGGGAACGCCGTTGACCCTCCTGTGATGTCACAAGAGGTAAATGACGATTCCAAACCTCTTGAATGCCAAGATTCTTTGGTAAGCCCAATTGTCAATCATGAAAATGAGACAGACATTGATCTGGGTTACAGTTCCTCTTCAGATATAGATGGGCCGGGTGAAACAACCTCTGAAGTTGTTCTTTCCAGTTGTCAGTCGATTCCAAATTGGTCGCGTAAGGTAGACACAGACACGAGTGTGCAAGCGAAGCCTTCCTATCTCATGCATGGCGTAGCTCTGCTGCCTGTGGATGAGCTTGGCGCGCAGCGGTCAGAACTTTGTAAAAAACGAACTGGTCGCTGGCCTACCGCAATTACTTAGGTGTGTTTTGAAAAATGTTCAGATGTCTGATAAGTCTCAGATTGTGTTTTAGATAGTGAGATTTGCCTGCTTCCGCAGGATCGCCATTGTGCCATCTCCGGGTTTACGTTGTAATAGCTAGTTTTGAGTTTGCATTATACTTCAATATATGATGCCATATAGTTCGCATATCAGTTAAAGCGATATATTTTGTATTTTCATTACCTTCGGGGTTTACTTATTTTAGGGACTTAAACTGTTTGCTCTTTTTCCAGTAACAAATTGGAGTGAGAGATCCCACAGTTATACTTAAAGTTATGCTGGAACCTTTTGTACAACGAACTATTTGTAAAGTATGTTTCTTTTAGCCATGTTGCTGATTTGCCCGTTATTCTGCAGCGAGTCAAACTAAGTGACGGGATAGAAAAAAATTGCAATCTTCTTGTTGGAGAAGTGAAACTACTCAAACATGATTCTTATATTAAACTTACCAGCAGCATAACTGTATAGTTAGTTGAATGACGACTTGCATTTGTTTCGATTGTTGATGTTACATTTTTCTAAGTGATCTATACCGTATACATTGTATTTGCATTGTTGATATATGTACTTATGGGTTTTTACATGTAGAAAAAAATCCTTGAAATTCTTACATGTTGGTTTTCATGATTGGTAATGCTAATCTAGAACATTTAAAAAGATGTATAGTATAATTGCTATAAATGTGCAAATTTTAAGTATTTAAAATACTACTCGAGGTCGCGTAGTTTGAAGCAGGGAACATGTAACGATATGGGTTTTTGGGTTTAAAATAATGAATAATTCATAAGGAGCATGAATAATGCAATGTTATTTTCTGGCTGTTCCTTTTAGTGTACTTACCCCGCCAGCCTAATTGCCCTAGTTAACAAGTTTGGACATATGTTCGTCGACATTTAGGTCATTTGATAATTCTATCTTGAGAATGATTATTTGGTAACAGTATGTCATCATCATTGTCAGTAATCAAAGTCAACACTCCTTCTGAGTCAATTTTATGCGCGACGAGGGGTTGTGGTCATTGCATTACGGTAAGAGCGCTACCGCTCACATGGTTTGTCCTCTTGCGAGCGGGCCGTGAAAGAAGCTCAGACCGAGCCAACCTTTGTCTAAAAGTCGCCCACTTTTCCCTCATTTTTGGGGTAAGTTGGATTCTAATTAAGTATTGAGTAGATCAGGTAAGGGACATAGAAGAGGTTGGTTGATATGATTATTGTCAAACTGATTGATTTTTATAGTTTTTAGGATGTTAGTTTTGTGTGAAAGTGTCAAAACTTTTCTAGAGTTGAATGACCGTTTTCGTACACATTCACTGTACAATGCATTATATAATGGCGACATTGAGTTCAGCATTGTGTACATTCAGTACGTAGTGTGCGTATGCACAGCACAACGTTGAATCTCGACCACACTGTGGAATTCGACCTACTCGCTTTATTTCGAAATGTTGTTCGTGTATGTCGCATTGTTTATTGGTGCAGGGGACCTTTTATGATAGAAGCTATTTCCTTAAATATGTTCCCCGTGTATGCTATTTGTATTTTTATGTATTTTAATTTATAGCTGAGACATTGCTGTCACAAGCTTTGAAGGTTGACATCTCAAGTGCATTACAGGCCTTCTCTATTTTATATCAGGGTAAGACTGTAATTCTCTTTGTATGCTTGATTAAGTAGTCATCCTATTTAGTATTCTTTTGGAGTGATCATGACACTGTCTACAAAACAACTATATTATTTATAGTTTATGCTGTGTAATTAAAATAACTGTTTATAATATTAATGTAATCCAATGACTTTGGAACAAGACTTACAAAAGTTTAAGATCAATTCATTTTATTCATGGTCAACAGGGTCTTCTTTTATGGTCTTCATTGTCGTCTTATTGGAATCTTTGTTCGGATCTTCATTTGGATTATTTTGTATAATTGGAGAAAGTGAATTAAATTAAAACTTAATCAAGTGAATCAGTGTAAACAACCGTCTGAGTGTTCCAGTTCAATTCTACTTGCTTTCCACCTTACTCTATCTTCATGAGGGTGAACCTGACCACCCTTATCATCGTTGGGGTAGCCACCTCTCGACATTATTAAGGGCGGGAAGTTACTGGGTACGACGGGCAGTGCCTCAATTCAAAAGAAATAAATAGTTCTTAAGTAAGATTTTGAATTTTGACCAATTTTCACAAGTTCGTTTTTAATCTTTAGAAACACGCCTAGCACCCTCTAGTACTGGTGGGGCTTATTCCAACCGTATTTCCCAACGGTGGAACAAAATCGGCGTGCCTTTTTCAAGTTTATTCTTAAGAAATTTAGGCAATTTTTCAAGTTTATTCTTAAGTAATTTAGGCATATTATCAATTCAAGTCACGTGACTTTTTTCACCGAGACTAACACCCATTTGTCCTGATGGGGTTAGTATCCAACCGTAGTTTCTAGCGGTGGAAATATTCGTGGTGAAGGATTGGCAAGCGTGCCAAGATTTGGGCCCAGTGATGCCAAGCATGGCAAGGATTTGGGGCAAACGTACGTGCCCCCGTTTTTCTGGCCAATGTGCCAAAACTGTTTGGTTTAATAAAATTTGAATAAAACGAAATAAAATAGCGGCTAGAAAAACAACTATGCCTAAAAGTCAAACATTTGTTTTAAGGTGTTTTGTGTGTGGTCTGAGAATAATCTTTAAATAAATCACTTGCTTCGTAATATCATACAGTTATGATAATGCAGTTTGCTGTTTTTGTAAGATAACATTGAGTAATGTTGATCTGGAATCTTCAAAATTAGGGAACCAAATAGCACTGTTAGCAGGCGGAGCCGAATGCATGAAGACCGAGTTTTGGAAAATCTCGGTAACGGTCGTCAAATTCAAAATTGTACATGACGCAGCAAAAAGTTCGCCCGAACGATCCGAGTATATTTGATGCACAAAATTGTCGTTGAATTTTAAGTTTTCTAAGTAAATGAAAAAAAAACCCATTAATTATTAACTCATTTAGAATAAAATTAATAAGCAATAAGCAGTTAATTAAACCTATATTATATAGTCGGAAATACTCGGGCGCTATCCGATTGTCGACGAAACGACTTCAGCAAACTTCGGAAATTTTCGGAAAAAGGAGGAATTCCTCCCGTTTTAGTCACGTGACGTAAATTGTAATACATTGTATTACCGGAGGCTACCGGACCTAAGATTCATCAGGAATAGTCGGAATCTTTTGGTCTGGGAACCAGACTAGCGATCGATGAGAAATTCGGGCACATGTAGGAGAATGCTGTACGCTAATGTCAGGAACTCAGGAATGACACCCCTGCTTCCTGAAATGAGACAGAATGGTACAATTTCGGGGGACTAAATTTCCAGGAAGTGGGTATTTATCAAGCCAAGATACATAGACCCACTTTACAGCTTCCTTTGATCGCTTTATTTGTGTAAAGTTTGCAGCCACGTGATGCACAAAATGGCTTTCTGCGTAGGCTACATGTACATGTGTTTAACCATGTAGTTCTACATGTATGTGTTTTTCACAGTACAGAATGTACACCACTCCATGTACATGCATGAGACATCCTAACATTTGGGATTGACTGACCCTGGGGTAAGGTGATATATATATTTATTATTATATTTAAAGACGATTATTGAACTAAAAGTGTGTCTAGAATCCAGATATGATTATGAAACTGTTTATTATGTAATAAATAGGCAATACTTATTTTTTTTGTTTCAGGGTTTTGTTTTGGGGGTTATTTTATGACCTAGCATCGTAATAAATAAAAGAGAAGTGATTGGTGTCAGACTCCAGCGTTATCTATGTTTGAGTACATGGACGAACCCGAACCCTAGAATGATAGTAGGGCAGGTCACCACATTTTTTTTATTTATTTTTATTTAGAAAATGTTATCTGAATATTAATTGTATTTTTTTCAAAGAAGACTCAACTCCCCCATCCCTGTACATCCACCATTGTTATATACAAAGTCAGGCAATTAACAAATGTGCACATATCTAAACTGTTATTTGGGCAACTTTTATTAAAACTAAATATTTACAAATCGGGAATGTTAAAAAGAAAGTCTATTGCTAGATTCGCATATTTGGAATGACGTCTTTTCAATCGATTCTCAAAAAAGAGTTTTGAATACAAAGCAATATTTCTTTTGAAGGAAAAATATTGTTTATTAAACTGTCATTTGTATGTCGCTCCACGATTGAAATTTGTAATGAAGAGTCATGCCACATATACAGATTAACTTCAACATTTATACACAAAGATTATCTAGACAATATATTTCCATAAAGAAAATGCAGACTTTAAAACCGACCTCAAGTCGGCATATTTTGCTATTTCTCTTGCCAAACACAAAACAAGTTATTTTAGAGTTGTTGAAAAATGTGGGAAAGCCAAAAAAACAGCTTTTACATAGTTATTTGTTACATTGGCATCACTCCAAGTCGCTACTAATTTGAATTGATAAAAAATAGATTGATTTCAAGTGCTATTTTCGAGTTTCACTCACTAAAAAAACGGGTGAACTGGTTCACGCCTCTATTAAAAACGGTTGTATAGGCACCGGGAACCAATCTTCTCGCAGGGCGGACCTCAGCTTGCGCACAAAAATAAAGCATTTTCATAAGAAGGCAATTTTTTCACCGTAATTAATTTAACATACAAGTGTTAATTGTCTTTTCCCTTTGGGGGGGGGGGGGAGGGGGTGGGATGGAGGTGGGGGTGAGGAAGGTGTGCAAAGGGGGGGGGGAGCCACACCCACAAAAATGAGATCCAGCTGAACTGGTACTGTTGGGATTTACTTTTGTTTTGGGATGGCTAAATGTGTGTGTGTGTGTGGGGGGGGTGTATGCGGGGGAGGGGGAGAGAGTTGCAAAAAAAGCCCCTCCACCAATAGGATATACCGGTATTGCATATATATATAGTTCCTAATACCGGGTTTGTCCTTAATATCCGTTTAAATACAGACAGCCCCTGATCACCGTAATGTATTCACACGATAATTTATAGATTTTATGAAATCATTTAAAAAGTACACGAAGGGAAAAGCTACAAGGTTTCTTTGCCAACAGTTACCGATTGAACCAGGAAAAAAATCTCTTAAAAGCCGCATCCGTCAATTTTTTCCCTTCGGCTTTTGCCTAAAAATTCTATTATTACAGTATATTATAATATTATCCTTTCATTAATGTATTGGATACCATGTAAGGTTCGGACCTCCTACGTGATTTGCTTTTTTTCCCTCATAGCTCCTCCAAATATGGTCGAAATTCTGCAACGAGCAAAGGAAAAGTCCATTTCGTGAAGCTAATGCATGAACCTTGTGCACTGATGCTTAACTCAGAGAAGGAACCAAATTGGTTTTGAAAGATCGGTCTTTAAAGGTATACGTAGAGTCATTTGATTTTGGTGCATTGTTTTGGTATGAAGAAATAAAATCTTAAGTAGGTTGTTTAACAATCAGCTCAGTGGATATTACACATTTTGAGAAAATCGTGTGCATAATTTGTTTTGGGTCTCCGTTGCTAACGCACGTAAAAAAAAAGTGTGTCCGCGGGCAATTTATTTTAAACCAACTTCAACTTTAGTTTTCTTCCAAGCGATGCCATTTCAGGCGGAATAATTTCACAATTTGACACCAGTCAGAGCAAGGTTTCTGTCGTAAAATCGGTAGATCATTTTTTTCCCGATAATTGAAAATGATATCCTATATGACTTAAAAATGAATACAATACCTTCTAGTCATATTTTATACTTATAAAGTAAAAGGTAAACTTTAATATTAACTATCGAAATACTTATATTTCTCCTCAATCCCTTGGTTCAACAAATCTCGGATTCGCCGAGGCTATAATGCCGAACTGACTGACTTCTCAATGAGATGAACAGCTCTAAGCTGCAGAACTTTGGTACCAAATGTTAAAGATAATAGTTTTCCACACCTAACCACACACTATCTTGAATCTAAAAGTTCTCCTTGTGAAAGATGAAGCCAAACTTCTGGCAGTGTTTACTGATGACGGATCCGAGTGCTGGGGCTCCGCAGAAGAACACCGACACCCTTCCCTTGTCCTCGTCCTTGATCTGCTTGAAGAGCTGCAACATTCCAAAAGGAAAACATAATTGAGATCATAACTGCAGACTCTGGATTTACTTGACTGATTCATTACTAGGCCCCGCCCACTGCTCACGTGGCCAACAACACGTGCACTTCTCCAGTGCCACATTATAATATTCTGGCTGCGCGTGAACGCGTGTCGGACTTTCGTGCACGCATGTCGGACATTAACCATGGCTGTCATTGGTAAAAGCTCCATTGGACGGGGCTTAATGAATCGGTTTGAAGAAAGTAATATACGAGATCGTTGGTGACTTCGTCATACGCGCGCGCACCACTGATTGCTAGCGCCCATTGGATGAACACTCAAGTTGCGTTAACTTCAGTTCCAATGGTTCCATTGCTACTTAATGTGCAATGGGCGTGGTTTAAACTGAAGTGATGTCACACTAACGAACCGGATTGATTTCATGACTAAACACGCTCTCATTTGTCAACAAGACAAGGCAAACCTGTAGTAAAGCTGGTCTCCGAGCACACCAAACATTCTTTTCTTATCATGTAGCCTATGTGGACCAGATTTAGGCCATTCACTGACTCTACGGGTAATCCAATCTCAAACTGTTTCAGTCAGTTTACCTGATTCCAGTTTGGTCTTCCCGCTTGTAGCTTGGTTCGCAGTCCGGTCAGCAAGTCTCTATTCTCCCTCTCGTGGACCAAGTCTAGCGCCATCTGGAGGCCAAAATTCTTCACATCGAAGCGCTGGATGCTCGTCATAAACAGGTGGATGTCCAGGAAGCGATCCAGTGAGTACTGACTCTGTTCGGTCTCCAGGTTCAGCAGCATGTCAACGAACCACTCAAACGCCGTGTGGTTGCGGTTCAGCCAAATAAAATCAACCTGCACAAGAAGAAATTTGTTTTGGCATTAATACTGAAAAGCCTCATCTGCCTTCAGAATGACAAACAAAGTCATAATATTGTGAAAAGGTGTCAAAATTCTATTCAAAAAGGTGTTCAGTACTATTCAATTTACCAAGATCATCCACCACATATTGAGACAGGACCTGCTTTTGCACACATTATTATTGCAGCTAACACCCAACTCAGGCCTTGTTACGACCAGTATGTAACCACGTGGATGCATCCCGCTTGAATATTGCGCTGAGCATTGTGGGAAATAGCATGGCGTAGCAAGATCGTACCCATGGCAACGATGTTAGTGTATTGGTGGCATTAATTAACACTATCGTTTCGGTAACAATGAATGTGAATCGTCGTTGTGTACTCGAATTCCTAATTAAATTTGCTCGCCATGCAGCCTCTTTGTGTCTTGGTATAAACACTACCGGAATCTACTCATCGGTTGGTTGGTTGACCCTCTACCGCCCTCTACGGTGACCCCTACCTTCTTGACCCTGAGAGCCTGTTTGCCTCTCTCCTCGTCCACCCAGGTGTGTTGGCAGTTGGGGCATCTACTGACGATGCTTCGGTGTCTGTACATGATGGACTGAACAATAGAAGCAAACGGGGTGACTCCTATACCAGCGCCGATTAGTACGGCGTGGTCAGACTCGAAGACACTGGTACTCGGTGTCCCGTACGGACCTTGGATGTGAACCTTTGTCAAATAAATAAATGAATATGACATTAAAACGTCTTATATTTAAACGATTGGGAACACTATAACGACGCGATTTTGAGGATATAAACCACTAATCTCTGAATAACAAAAAATAATTTAAAAAAAAGGTAGCCCATTGGCTGTTAGAAGTGAAGTCACCGTCCGCCATCTTACTACTCCCATGACAATGGAAAAGTGACCTGGATTCATTTTTTTTTTTCCACCTTAAAAACTAATTAAATTTCTCACACCAACGTAGCATTTATTAAATCAGTACGTTCCTCCACTCGTTTGAATACAATACTGGAATTTATCCATGCTATGAGAATTAGTTATGCATATTCCATTTTTACAGCTGTCCATGGAATTCCATGGCAAGCTATTGAGCTAAGTGAGAACCATAGATGACACACAGGCATTCAGATGCAGTTTTTATAATCTTTGTCAATACTGAAACGTTACATTATATTTATATCTCCCCTGACAAAACTTTCATCATTAAAAAAAGTTTACCAATCAAAATATCATGTGAAGTATATTTTCTTTGCCAGTTAACCTAATAAGACTATTAAAATCGAACGAAATTGCTCAATATTATTAGTCAGCTTACTATGCTGACAAAAGAATGTTGTTTTTCTGACAAGACAATACACAACAAACGTCCTACCATCAGTCTTTAGTTACAACACTCACTTGTATCTTGTCCTTTGTATTCATATCAAACAAAATCTGTGGTCTTGGCATTGTCTTGGACAGCTGTCTTTGAAAGTACTTGGACTTCGGGTTCGTCACGGGGGGACCGGCCTCTGACACCGAAGCATTTCTCCTGGACACAGCGTGTCTCCTCTGCATTGATCCACCGTTTGGTGACGCTGCACCTTCGCGGTTCGTCGCGTTATCGTCACTCTAAACAACGAATAAAAACATCAGTGAATGGCTAGCGCCCCTTAAACAAAGACACTGACAAAATGGGGAACTGTCAACCGGAGGTCACAGGTATAAAAAATTCACAAAAACATCGTATCACCATTTAGCAGGTTTTACCGAACAGTAAAGAGCAAGTTTGGGCGCAAACTAGTTAACCAGAGTCCGACTGTTAATCTCTAGTTAACTATTCAACTCTGGTCGACTATTTTGGAACCGGAGCACGGGGCATGTCTGCATCGTTGTGTTGGTTACCAATAGCTGCGCGCATCATAAAGCACAACGAGGAGCCGTGACTTTTGACCATCGTTTAACCAGAGGCAGGCGTAAGTTACGTCACAAAAGTGAGTGGTAATACGGAGCGCCATCCGAGTACTGCTCATGCAAGAAGAGTGCATTCCGAGATCTTACCTCTTTTCCCGTCTCGTTTGGTGACGTTTCGTTGTCTTCCAGCTGATCTTGCTGACCCCGTTCGTCTTTGATCGCGCACGCTTCTTCTACTCCCTCGTCGATTTCCTCCGGAATCCGAAGAGGGACAGAGGTCTTCCTCCATTGGGCGACTGCCTGTGGGTCCACCTCGGCGTTGAAGCTGATGCGGCGGACTTTCATGACAGTGGGAGGGTCTACCTCACCGGACTCCGAGAGAGACTCTTCGGGGGTAATCCTGAAAGTAGAGTCACAACGCTTATTCGGTTAATCGATATTTATGCCAATAATTCGTTTACATTTTGACATTTCGAATCATTAAAATTTAGAATCATTGACAAGCATTGTTCTTGAGCAAGCGGTCTTCTGGGCATTATTTACCTTTTCGGCCAGCCGACAGCAGTCTGTTGCTTTAAAATAACATGAAATCTGCACAACTCTTGTCCAATTTATTTTGGCTGGTAATAATGTCAGGGAGCTTGGTATAAGTGCACATACACTGCGGAGTTTCTTCCAAAATGTACCGCCAGAAATCAAATCGATTAACTGAAACCGTTTACCGAAAACAGAATCGATTATGAGATTTAATAAAAATCGACCCCACCTGACAGCTGTCTCGTCCATTACCTCCAGCTGATTGGTGTCAACTGGTGGTGGCTTGACGTTGGAAATCTTTTCCCCATCTGAAGGTGACATCTCGAAGCCACCGTTGAGGTTACCTCCGGCTAGAGGCGGATGCTCCCCATTAGATGACGAGGAACTAACAAGCCGCCGACTGCGTGAAGCTTGACTTGACCTCTTCCTGATGGTAGCCTGCTGCATGCCATCGAAGTGACGGTACAGTCGCTTAGTCCAGTTACCCGCGGATCGGATATGAAGACACAAGATATCTAGCAACAAATGTATTATATCATTCATATTACACGGCTTGACCTCAACTTCATGCTCGATAACTATTATTTTGAGAAACTTGAAATTATTCTAAGGGTCGCATTCCAGTCCTGTTCCGTGCATGTCAATGGAAATAGTAGCCGGTAGGCCTATAGACCTAGTAGAAGTTAAGCCTGGTAAACTAAACACATTTGTTCAAATACTTTGGCTTTTGGTAATTGTAGGAATATGAATATTTGAACAAAAGGTTTGCTACGAATTTCAAGTGTTTCTAAAAGGAGTCTGATGCGAACTAGATTTCTTGAAGATGTAATTAAATAACTCGATTCAATTACACTGGTTTACAACTGAACCGATTTCATTAGATTCTACTACATTTCAAAAGATTCGATTCGATTCGATTCGGAATCGAATATATTCCATTCGTTTCCAAAGATCTAACTGATGTCACTTCGTTTCCATTCTTCCCTTCGATTCTTAATACCCGATTTTATATCGATACTGACCTGTCTGCTCTGGTGCACTACTGATGGTAAACGGATGCCACTCGTTCTTCGCTATCTCAGGGATCTTGACAAAGATGTAGTCACCAGCCTTGTATTTGAAGTGCCGCGGCTTGGTCATAACTAAATGTGTTACCTGAAGAAGAAAAAAGAGCAAACGGCAAGTTCAACCGAAAGATCTTAGTCCAATCAGTGATGCACTGTTTTGTATGTGAAATAAAAAGTAAAGATAAATACTGTATTTATGTATAATACATATTTCAATGCGTAGTGTTTTAGAATCATCAACCCCGTGTGCTTGAGCTGTATACGAAGTTTACTTGTTACCAGAAGCGAATCGACACTGGTTAAGGGTTCAACCCACTTGCCCTACATCCACTTCCGCAACGGTAACAAAAGGGAAAGAAAGAAATGATAAGATTACTCAAAATAAGGCTTTAAGCCATGCTTTTCAAATTTCCGAACTTCCTCCATGGTTGAGTCAATAAACTTGGGCATATATCTACCTGAAACGGATGTCAAATGTCGATAATTAATTTGGGGTGGTTTTGGAATTGTTACTCACTTGGCTGGCCCCCGGAACATTTCGGTCTAATATACAATATACCACTTTGCGGCATACGCACCTGTATGTGTACAGACCCCTCGGTTAACGCCTAATCTGCCTAATTAGTTTAAACGGAGGGCGCGTCTCAAACAAGGGCAACAAACCTTCAGTCAAGAGACAGAGTAGACAAAGAGATGTGGTTACCAAAGGGTAGGTACTTACTCCGGAGGGCAGCAGATTGGCTTCCTTGACGTACGTCTTGCCGTGGCGGAGTTGATGGATGATCTGAAGGGCACTGGCCTTCTCGAGAAGGAAGAGGATCAGTGGGCCAAGGAACCACGCCCAGAAGATTGGGCCGTGCAGGATCAGCAGGAACCAGAAGATGAAATAGCAGATCTTGTGAGTCCAGTAGAATATCTGATAGAAGAGTGAAAAGAAGGTCACCAAAGAAGGTCACAATGGATTATAGTTCCATACAGGAACTTCTGAAATTGCCTTATCTCGTTCCAAGATCCATTTTCACGAAACTGAATGATTATTTAAGTGCTGAATTGTAACACAAATCGACCAAAGAAAACTTGTGTGCAAAATATGACTAGCTATTTTATACGCTGACGTACATGTATTACTGCCCACACTACCTTCTACCTTCAGCTGTGATCTGTTTTTGTTTTGGTTATTTTAATTCAGCCAGAACGATCGCAAAAAAAAGTATACCCATGTATCATGAGGAACAAAACCAGATCTTTATTAGGTGGACGTCATTGTGACGCAACACTAATACTTCCTTAGACTTTTTAATAGGAGAAGGAACCATTGAGTTGTAAACCCTATGCTACCGTATTAAGTATTAACAATCATTCGAAAACTTTTATTATTTTGCATGTGCAATGCTAGGTGTTGGTAATAAGGCTATTATCAAATTTAGTTCACTCAATCTGTCTGCTGCTCTGCACCTGTAGAAATCACTAATGAATAGGTTTGTGAATGTTAGACTGACCTCAAAATGACCCGAGCGCCTGACGTAGGACAGTGACCCCAAGATGAGAACCAGGAAAACGACGTCAAGTATCCAACCCGTGATGAAGGCACTTCCAGCGAGCTTGCCGACTGGGAGCCCGACTTGTAGGAGGGTGGGATCAGTGAACAACAGTTCGACTGCCGTAAAGTTCTTGTACGTCTCTAAAGTCACTGTCGTAAAAAACCAGCACGAGAGTGTTCAATAACAAATGTTCTGTTGTTAAAATCACGAGCGGAGTATCATCTTGGCAGAAATCATGAATGAATTCAAACGTTTATGCCCGAAGTGTTTTTAGACACAAGTCTTATCTAGTTAAGTGTCCAAAGTTTGAAACCGTATGCACTCTGAAAAAAAAGTCGCAAATTTGACCTGACATAGTCAAAATGACACTTCCGATCAAAATGACACTTCCAATTCAAAAAGACACTTCAAAGTCAAAAAGACATTTCTTGTTTAGTATTACACTATTTTTTGTCAAAATGGCATATTTTTTCCCGCGTCAAAGATGACACTTTCACCCGGGAACAATGACCCGGAAATGTGACCTACATAAGTGTCATTGTGTCCCCGAAAAAGTGCCAGGATAAATCGAATCCGGTTTTGGGTTTAGTATGTCTGGAATCTTTGAAGAGTGTAAGTTGACCATCAAGACTCACGAGCATTGCCGACGTGGCCCAAGGTGTGCGCGAGTGCCAAGATGGCGGCGAGGTATCCGATGAATTTGTGAAAGACAATGTTGTCATCGAAGGGAAGAATCTGCACCAGCAAGGAGGAGGAACGCAGGAAACTCAGGGTTTTACGGAGCATCATCAAGACGATGAGGGCGCAGTTGAAATTCAGAGCCTGGCCGCAACCACGTGCTGAACGGAAGTAGATTTATAGAGGTATTTCACAGAAATAAACAAGTTTTGGACTGACATTGTGAACGACAACGAAAACAGGAAAAATACAGAGGCTATCACAAAACTATTACATCTAATACGGTAAAGAGATTTCTGCTGTGATTGTTCATTGTTGGTTTCGAATGTCCACAGGTCACCAAATATGATGGTAAACTATGTACACAGCCAATTCGATCGTTGTTTCATAACTACACAATAATACACAACGAATTTTACAAATTTCAGTAAACCTGGACTACTCTTGATTATTTCTCCGTGTTACTGAATGAGCACGAGGAGGAAGGAAGGTACAAGCGCTGGTGGAAAAGATCTACCAACCAAAGTTAAAAAATGAAAAATCTAATTTTCACGACGCGAGCGACCTACCAATTAGGAAACACCAGTTGGCGTCAGGATTAGATGAATGACGGTAGGCTGCTTCGCCAAAGAGGGCGCCAGTCAAGAGCAATATGACCAACATCAGCACGATTCGTTTGATATTATTCCGCAGGTAAGTCGGCCGTAACCAAGGTATCCCTCCGCAGCGTCGCTTCTTCGGTCTGGTGTCTTTAAGCCAAGCAGCCGCACTATATCAATAAATTAAAAGACACATGGTGGTGTGAGATGATAATGTAGGTTTTCCCGGTTACTGTATGATCCAAAAACGAATTTGCTTTTTCAATTCTACACATGAGACGACTTTTCCCAAACTACTAGAACGAATTAGAATGCTGCATTCGATCGTGAATTACACTGTACCAGAAATGGAATCTTTAACGCAAATTTGAAATTCACATTTACATTGGAGCCCAACAACGCCGGGAACAAACTTCTATATTTTTTTTGCAACGTTTACCTTCCATAGTTTGCCTACCTGTGGTTGGAAAAAGTGCCAACGACAGAAAGGTCTATTGTGTCTTCCATTGACCCTTGGCCCTTACCTAATTGAGAAATTTTCCAGTATGTCTGGGTACCGCCTCAGTGTGGTCATGAACTCTTCAAACGAGATGGAGCCATCGTTGTCCTGGTCCGCGTTCGCAAACAGCGTGTCCGTTAGGTGGTCTACTTTGGAATCGCTGAGCTGCAACGAACTCTCGTCGATTCCCGTCTTCATGAGGGCTCGCAACTCGTCCTTGTCAATGGTTCCACTCTCTAAGAGAAACGGCAAGAGCTCACATTTTAGTGGAGGAGATAATTGCGATTTCGTTTTGCTTTGGGAAAACACAATACTAGATTAGGGGAGTCAGGTTGGCGTAGCGGTACTTTTCTCGCCTTCCACCGCTGTGACCCGGGTTCGAATCCCGCCTGGGCCAATATGTGGATTGGGTCTTCAGTCCCTGCCTGATTCCGTGGGTTTTCCCAGAATATTCTTCTGGGCTTATCCTCCCACCTCTAAAAACTGTAACTTCTTCTTATTGTCTTCTCTCCACAGGTTTCTTCAAGCTTGCGAGCTACAGTGCCTAGTGCGCTTTTGAGGAATTCTTGGTTTCATTACCAGAAATGATTAATAATAATAAAAAATAAAATAATAATAATTATTATTATACATATTGTTGGAAAAAGGTGTACATTTTGGATGGGTAAGGATTAAAACTTATTAAAACTGGTGTCACGAAAACTTGCGAAATTAACGATATCTGTTGCGATTTCAACTCAATTGATTAAAATCACTTTGACACAGGTTATATTTTTTTTAACATACTTATTACCAATAAGTACATATCTTTGGTATATGAAGTGTCATATTTTTTGGACAATATTCCCCAAGATTCCATGTCCACATTTTCTGGTCATCGCTATTGAAAGTATAAATAATACAATGTGGATTTAATGTGAGAATTATCGAATGACAGACAGAAGCTTGCCCCTAAGATAACCTTTGCATTCCAAACACAAAAGGACAACAACAAAAAAAGCATTTACTATCGACATATCAACAAATACAAGTCTTCTGTGCAGGGTTTACGACCAGGACAACGAACTTTGATACAATTTGACACAATGGAATAGAAGTTATCTGACTTCTGTAAACAATCAACAACAATAGGAAGAATGGCGGAAGATGACGTGCACACTGGACATGATTGGTACTTTATTACTAATCAGCATGTTGGAATTATTATCGGTATGTATAATTCTAGAATAGAAACTTTGAAGTTAATCTAGTGGAGGCTCTGTGTATCAATGGAACGACTGATAAGATCTGTTTTCCCCCTAAAAAATATTTTCTATGCTCCATGGAAACAAGCCGCCAGAAGAGACAATTGAACGATACAACCAGCACAACACTTCAGATTCGATAAGGAAGGTTCATAAGCCTATATTAATCAAAAAAAAACATGTGCGTGTTGCGAAGATATTTATTATCTGGCTATAGTGGGCGGACAGCGGCCTGCTTACTTCCACGAGGATTAATGAGTAAAACTATCAAAGTACAGTGGCCACCGATCACCGGGATGGGTACCACTGGGGGTCATGTATACAGTTTTGGCGGTCCCACACCTAGAGAGCCAGCCTAGGCCAGCCTATATGGTCCTCTTTGCACATTACTGACTGATTCACTCGCTCACCACTGACTGACTCAGACCGACTGGCTCTTGTAAATTAGACTCGCATAAGTCTCACCTTGGCCCAAAATTTGGATTTGCTGGTCCCAGAGGGTCGACATACAGTCTTCTTTGAATCTATCTCACTGACTCACTAACTGACTGTCATTTGTAAATTAGACTTGCATAAGTCTTCCTTAGCACAAACATTTGACTCAGATGGCTATACGTCTCCTTAAACCAAACTGGTTGGGACTAGTGTTACAGGACATGTCTAGTCTTATTAAACACCATTCCCACTCCATCCTGTAAAACCATTGTTCCGATCTTTATTTGCACCCACCGCCTTTCGGCCTTACGCAAGGACAGCTTATCCATTTCATCTTGTGAAGGAAACCCAGGCTTCGCAAAGCATTGTTGGTATTATGCTGCCGTATTCAACGCTCTTAGACCGCGTCCGAAATGTCCTAAACCACCTTCAATTATTGTTTTCTCCAGGCGGAACAGTTTCACATGGTATTTTGTATAACCAGTCTATTCTTCACTTTGAGCAAGGATTTTTGTCGTTAATTTGGGTATAGGTCATTTCTGGAAAATGGCAAATGTTCCTATGTGTTTTTAAGAAAGAAAAGTCACTTCTTGGGGAAGAAAAGAAATACAACATTCCCGGGATCAAACCAACAACATTTAGCACGTTCATAGGCATCCGCGTAAATTTAGCACGCCACAATGGTGCTTCAATCTTGGCTGGAAATCTAAACCATTTAAAGTTATTTAAAAACCACATGATATATGAATTCGATCACGTGATATATTTTACGCATGCGTATTACGGTAATGACTTTACTACAGCCTGCAAGAGAAAACTAAGCTTCGGGTCACTAGAGAAACAAGTATCTGTCCAATAAGAGCTCAAAGAAAATTAGAGGCAACCAGCACCCGTAGGAGAGGTGATGGGTACCCTGAGCGCTCACCATCCAAGTCGTAGACATCGAAGAAGAATCGGACTTTTTCCTCCCTGGTTCCCTTAGTCAGAAGGAACAGGCCGTCCATCATCTCCTGCTGGGAAACCGTCCCGCTGTGGTCGTAGTCGAACAGGTCAAAGAATCGATCGGCAAAAAACAGCTGTCACAACCACGAAAAAAAGAAAGACTTTTATGCACAAAAAAAGGAGGACGGCACGCTCGAATGCGCTCAAAACCTAAATTTAAAAAGTAAATCCCCAAACATATCAATATAAGTTTGTTCCGTTCGAAGACATTGTTTAAAAGCAGAATGTACCGACTGTGAGGTGGGGGAAGATGCCCTACTTATATCCCCCCCCCCCCCCCGTCTTCCCACCCCCGACCTCCGTTGGATATCAAGCAAGTTGCTTCTTTATATGCATACAGAGAGTCCGTGGAGTTACTCACATTTCGCACTTCCAGCGCGTTCTTGAAGCTTTCCCGGTCGATGTCCGTGTCTTTGCCCGCGATAGACGCGATGCGAGACTCGGCCCACACCAACCATTTTGTGTCCGCGTCCAGAACATTTCTGTCAAATAAAAAAGGTTTCAAATAATCACTGCACAGCTCTGAAAATGGAACAGACCGCACGAATAGTTTCTTGTTGAAGACACGGTTGATGTAAACAGACAAATCTCTGGGAACAGAACTCAGAAACTGAGGATGTCAAGCATTATTTACAAATTATCCAATTACGACCTTGGACCTAGAACAATCCGAGGTCCTGAACCAAAGTCCTCAGTAGTTTTCGTGAACAAATCTCATGGGATATGCCAAGAAAAATTTAATTCCAAACACTAGCAACGAAATAAATATCTATTATTGACATTATTAAAAGTATAGTTTGGTCGAATTAACTGTTTTTTTCTTGAAGCTTTTAGCAAGGAATCCGGCTTAAAAAAAACAGAATGTGAGTATAGAACAGTATCACGCTGAAATGTGAGAAGTATACAGGTTTTGGGGTATTTTCTCACATTGGCTATTTCCGTCTTTCATAAGGACATCATCTTTTTCGGTCATCCTTTGTCATACATTTTTACAGTGCACTTAAAATTCCTAGGTAAGATTCGACCCGGAGTCCGGGTTCTATTTAACCACATTGTACTTTTCGGTGTCAAAATTACACTTTACCGTGTCAAAATATCACTCTTCTGTGTCATATCCCCGTCATTTTGACCCGGACACCTTGGCAAAAGTGTCAGTTTTGCAACAGGAAAGTGTCATTTTGACCTTCAAAAGTATCAGGGTCAAATCTGATCAGGGATATTTTTTTCAAGCATACAAAAACCTAACCCACTGTGGCCTTTTGACATAACACAGCTCAATTTCGTTTCAGTGTCTCTGAATGACTCCTTAGCAATTGCCACATTCGATCAATATTTGACCCAAGTGCAAACAGGCTCTGGGATGGTGATTTGCTAAGTTTAATGACTGGCATATTTTGACACTGACTTGCTACGTACACACAATGGTGTGAGGGGCAAATCCTTTTGGTGCTACATTAAATAACATTGACACCCAGCATGAGAATGTGAATAGGCTTGTGACAGGTGGAAATAGCACGGCGAAGAACTCCATCAGGTAGGGCTGGTCGCTGTTTTGGGCTAATCACCGGGGAATTTAATTATACTTAAAATGTGCTTGTATTTATTAATTGCTCCAGCTGACCTCTTCTAGGTTTGATTATTTAGAAGTAATTCGACCTACAATTTCAACTTAGCGTTTGAACCGAGGGCCCAGTTTCCCTTTTGTTTTTGGTGATTATTCCGAAACGAAGAGGTAATTTATGTCGGCTTAGCTGCTCAGTAATTCGGAATTTGTCTATAATGCGGCAGTTCGGCTACTTTAATTAGTGGGATGGATCACTGACAAGTATAGACACGTTATTTCAATTTACATCCATGTATTTTGACAGATGTTTATGATTAAAATCAAATAGCCTTATCACAATGTTGGTTTGTTTAAGTTCAATTAATGCATTAATTTCTATGTTTTATTACGAAAATACTGTAGATTAAACTTAATCGGACAGTGACTCATTTCAATAATTCTGGAGTTTTTTTAATGTCACTGATTATTCACATCTGCATGGGAACACATATAAATCCACCCATACAGACACTGGTAATAACTTGGAAAATTGTAATGAGAACAACCTTGCTCGAATAACCCGTGTGCAATTATTCCACCCGAAATGGCATCGTTTCAAAGAATCCAATCACTAAAGATGGCTTTAAAACAAATGTGCCCACGGGCACACTTTTTTTACGAGCTTAAGCAATGGAATCCAGTTACGACACCGGAAAACAAATGTGTTTTCTCTGTTTTTCTCAAAATGTATGAAGTATCCACTGAGCTGAAACTTCACCAGGTTAATTGGTATTTACATACGATTTTGAGCAATTTGTTGCTTCAAACATATAAGTGCACAAAAATTCAACGATCCTGTTGGTGAGTTTAAGCGGGCCAAGCAGATAAACAGGCAAACAATTAGAATAAAGACATATACAATCGGTCAAATGTAACCTAAAGCTGCTTTTGTTTGCAGCCTCTTTGATAGCAAGTGTTAAACACTTATAATTCGCCGTATGCTGAACGATATTTCAAAATATTTTGAAGGGCTAACCACAAAATATGGCGATGGAACCAGTAAACAAAATGTGTTCAAGTACCGGGAAGTACCAACAACGGTATCATTGCAAAAGGTCGAGAGGATCGAGTTCTTCAATATTATAAAAAAAATAGTAATAATAATGATATATTGTCAGGGTTCGACCTTAATTTTTTTCTTCACTAGCCAGCCCGGCTACTGAAACAGACTGTTACCTAGCCCGCGGGCATTTTCACTAGCCGCATGGTTTTTTTTTCCTATCCTTCCATCTTTGCCGTATCCCAATAATTTTTTGACTCGCCAACCGGGCTACTTAAGGAATAGTTTGACTAGCCCGCCGCTGTTTAGACTAGCATTTGGCTAGCGGGCTACCGCTAATTTCTAATCCTGATTATAATACAACATCTAAATAACAAAAATACAAAATTTAACATAAAATATTTTTAAAGACAGCAAAAAATATATCATAAAGTATAAGAATAATTTGGAAACAGTAAATGTGAATGAGGAGTGGAAAACATTTTAACATTAAAAGGAAAATCGAAAAAGTTTCAAATGTCTCCCTTGGAATCAATTTATACCATATTTCAGTACACAAGAACAAAAATTATTAATTTTGCCCTTCAAACTTCCTTCAAACTCAAGAGAAAATCGCTTTTTTGTTCTTGGTTCCATTCGTAAATCGGTAAACCCTATAGAATCACCGTCCCAAACCAGCACTTAGGCTTTATTCACGTGTCGGTCACATTAAATTGTAAACGAGGTAACATGTTTTGGAACTTGCGAATAGAAATAAAAACAATGAAATAAAGTGAACTACAAATTAATACTAGTGTGCATGCTCTGATAGATAATTTAAGATCTGTGATTAAACGTACCCTTATGTTTTAAGCCACATTTTAAAAAAACCGAAAGTGAGGCTTTGAACGCATAAATAGTCTGGCACCATCCCATTCAACTGTTTACAATTTATAAAATACATTCAGGGAGCAAGATCAAATGGCTTCCTCATGAATATAAGGTGTGTTGAACCTCTTTCTTCCAATGCACTTACCTTCTCCAGTAGAGGGGTCGCCCGCTCAAGAAACTAATTTTGCGGAAAGCAGCTTGCGATGAACTTTGATCCATCAATGGCAAGTTGTGAAAGACACAAGTGCACTATTTAGGGAACAGTTTAACTGTAACTTGCGCACTTCGAAATTCTCTGCATCGCCAATGCAGTTTGCCCTCTTTTATGCCCCAATAAATGCCGGCGTGATTACAGTCGAAGATAACGAGCGAACCAACTTTAGGCAAACTTTAGGCAAATCTAAAGCACGACTCAAAACAACTTGGTGTCGCAGTTTGGTGTCCCCATTTTGAACATCTCTGTTGTGATCCTACAAAATATGTATCTGTCAACTCTTTCGTCTGCTACCGTGTTTCTATGTTCCCGTGGCTTCACATCACTTATGTGGTTCCTAGGATACCATCAGACATGACATTATCTGTATCATTTGTCATGTTGGTTAATCAATCTCTGATACCGATAGCTGTCAACAAAACAGACAGTTCCACAAAGCTCACCAGCTGATAAGAGGAGAAAATGTAGCCGGCCGGCATAGCGTCCCTAAAAGTTGGCATTTTTATTTGAACTATAATTGTTTGGTATAGGATTAACAAAAGGTGTAACCGAACCCTTGAAGTACTTGGTAGTTTTAATGACTCTCCTGGAATGTAAACTGGAGCATCAGGATCCGAAGTTTCGAAGATGTAGGTCTACTTCAATTAATTCGATGCTGATAAACCTTTTTCCCCATTTTTTTGCAACTTTTTTTCCCGACACTTTATGGTCCCTACATTATCGATCCTGAAAGGGTGGCGAGACCCAATCTACCCTGCAGGAACTGATTAATTGTCGGACAACAAATAAATCAAAATTGTAAAGTGATAATTCCATAAGTAAACGTGGGCCGATTTTTCGTTCGATATCTCATTCAAAGTTTTTGTATTGCTGGAATTTGTTGTTGTTTTTTTATTCTCGGGGTGAAACTCGAAAATACCATGGACAGGGGTTTCTGGTTGGCGAAGTGGTTCTTACCTCGATTCCCACCTCTATGGCCCAGGTTCGATTCCGGCCCGTGTCCCTATGTGGATTGGGTTTCAGTCCTTACCTGATTCAATGGGTTTTCCTCGGAAAATTCTTCTGACGTTTTCTCCCATCTGTAAAAACTGTAATTTCTTCCTTATATTTCTCTTTCTTCAGGCTATAGTAAGGTACAGTGCCTTGGCCAGTTTTGAAGACTCCAGAGATTATCAGAAATAAATAATGAAAAAAAGTAAATAAATAATGAGAGTAATTACCCCTTCACTGATGAAGGTGGTCGGGATATAGAAGAGACTTGCACCTGACATAAAAATCTACTTCGGGGGTTGACCACCCCCCCCCCCCTTCTTTGTGTAGTTTCTGCTATACCTACAAGATTGCATCAACATAGAGGGAGGAAACTCGAACGAAAAATTACAGTATATTTTGGTGGAAAAGAACAGCAATTTGTTTTCTAAAGTTCACAAAATTATTTTGTCAGACATCTCGACAAAATGGCTCCTCGTCTAAAAAAAGAAATGATCAGATCTTTTTAGTATGAAAAGTTACATCCTGTTATTCCAGATACCCGTTACAATGTGGCATTTTGTTCCTGGATGCTGTATATGCCATGAAATAAAATCAACCCTTCTGACCAAAATGATGTAGGCCTACACTTCTTCCCGTGTTGTTTTCGATATCCTTTAAAAGTTGGCATTGTGTCTTGTATATCGTTAAATGAAAACAACCCTTCTCATCAAAATGATGCTATAAAATTAGAATGACATCCTGTCATTGTACATACCCTTTAAATTTTAAGTGACATTTTGTTCATGTATGGCGTTGAATGAAAAAACCCAATAACCTCACTAAAATGATGCGATCTTTTTAGAATGAAAAGTTACTTCCTTTAATTCTACACGTACCCTTTAAAACTTGGCATTGTTTTTCTTTTGTGCCGTGGAATGAAAATAACTCTTCTCACCTTTGTACACGACTCTGCGGGTTTGCCGGGGTGTTTTTGCTGAAGGATCCCGACATTGTCGCTCCACAGAAACACTTCTGGCCTACTGCGCTTCGTGGTCAATTTGATCCCTTTACTAACATACCTGTTTGAGCTTCTTAGTTTTGTATTAGTTCGTAGGCCTCTAATAAACCATCAGGTCTGAAGCATTTAATGTTGACCTTGTTGCGTCATGGTCATTGTTTTATTTCGATCCAGCGCCAACTATCCATATGTCGTGCTCAAGTGTAAGATGTACGTTTAGTTGGAAAGGGCGCGAGATGATGATGTGTTTGGTTAATTGATAAAAATACATATCCGGATTTACTCTTAACAGATAAAACATATGTTGCAAATGAGTAGCGTTAGTTCGGTCCGACTTGCGTTGAACTCATAAACACACTCTCCATCTATATTGTGACTGGGACATTTTTTTAACAGAAACTCAAAAAATAAACTCGAATTTAAACAAGTTATTTAAACTTTTAAGATTAATTCAGCGGAAGGCCACTTGCAAACAGATACCAGATAATGATTGTGTATAATGATCCATTCTGCCTTTTTGTATGTGACTCACTCCACAGATAGCAACAAACCATTTCTTTATAGACCATGTCCAAATTTGACAGTTGTGGCTACGGCTATGATGTTGTCATTGGCACGCTACGCTGAAAAGCCTTAACCGAGGACAGAAACACCTGCTTCGGACACGGCCCAACAAAATCTCATTTCCCAATGGATATTTGTAAAAAAAAAAAAAAGTTATATGATTATAAGGCGACGAGGTCAAACAAAGGTAGAAAAAAAGTCTACGTCAATCAATAAACCAAGGACCTATTCCTGCAAACCAACAATGCGTATGTTGCAAGCAATACTTGGCACAATGGAGGGCGCTTTTTCAGCCTACTAATGATCGCTAGTAAATCGGTCCGAAATTGCCTACGCGGGCCAAATCACGATTTGCATGCCCTCAGTATTTGAGCATATTGTGGGCCATGAACCTGAGGGTTTGTAAAAAAATAAGGGTGGAAGCCGTGCACAGGACCGTGAGCTTGTATTTCTGTTAAATTTGGATGAAATTGGACTCTAAAAGCGCTCTATTTTGCAATGGAGTGTAGGCATCGTTTTTCAAAATGGCGATGAGCCTCAAGACTTTTTAAGGCGTGATCATCTTCGGATGGAATTTCTCACAAAAGTCATCAGACTACCCCTAAAAAAAAGGGGGGAAAATGAACGATGATGAAATTTATTTACTGGTCTGCAACCCTAGGTCTTTATTTTTGATTTGTCACCGTGAATTTCGACGCGTATGACGTGCTTTGACGTAACTTGTGAATATGCCCATTTTATTCTCCTCACAGACAAGTGTAACAGTTAAAGAATAAATGGTATGATTGCAACATTGTGACTTCGAAAAATCAGTTGGTTCCAGATAGAAACGAGGAATAAACCTTTTTGACAGTCGCATTGAATCATGGGTATTTATTTATTTATTTATTGCATGATCACAGACAATCCTTGGCCGGCGAGCGATCAGAATAAATGACCCAATTGTAAATCATAGTTCTTGAATCGAACTTAATCTTTGACTGCGCTCTGGCTGGGCTCTTGCACATCCGTGCTGAAATGTAAACACGCTTTTTCTCTTTTAACACTTGGCCTCCGTAAAATCAAATACTGGGGGAGGGGGCTGGTGATATAGGTCGATGGGGGCGCTGTTCAAAGCCGACGAGTGTGCACAATATTAACGGACAATAATGGCGCCTTTTAGGGCGATACATGCGCGAATTAAAAAAAAAAGGCACTCGTCAACTTGGCCGCTGCCACAAAAAGGGCACGACTTTTTTTCAAAAGGGCAATTGTTCAGAGAAAAAGGGACACTTGTTCGGAAAAAAGGCACTCGTTAACAAAAGAAAGGCACTCTTTACAAAGATTCGGGTTAGCGCTGTTGAAAAAAGGGCAATTCAATGGAAAAGGGCTGTCAGTCTTTTATACAAAATATTGGGGGGTAAATACCCCGTCCCCTGGCTACCGCATATGGACTATAAGCCCGGAGGGGGACATTTTACCCTGAACATAAAGCTGTACAATAAAAAAAAAATGCTTTCTTCCAAAGAATGATAGTTGACAACTATTGCTGGTTCTTTTCAGAACCACACCGCTCACACAGGGATTCATTCACATGGTGTTACCGCAAACCTCCCATTCATTTGCTGTGGTTTTCTCCTTTCATGGGAAGCTCACGCCCTCGTCTGTATATTTTTTAGAGGATAGTGTTTCACTCAATCCAAACAGATTCCAAGCAGTATCTAGAACTTCATTCATAATCATGAGGAAAATAAAATAATGAACAAAAATCTCCAAATGGAGAACTTTTCATGGTACGTAATATGCCGATGTAAAAGGGCGTCGAACACCTTTATCTCTGTTTTGTATAGTTTTGTTTCGTTTTCTTCAGTGTGTTTTTGTGCAAAAAGGTGTCCATTTAATTCCTACACCAATTCATATATTAACTCTTTTTGAAAATGTTCTGGCCCTTTCTCACCTCTCCAAAGATGGCTGTAATCCAATCATCGCTAAGAAGTCAATCACATTACGTCATCCAGACTCAAAAATCACCTGTTTCTTGTGATTGGACTTGTGACTCTGATTGTCTCCTGTTTGCTCTGTCTGCGCACATTGCGATGGAGCTGACGGTCATGTGAACACTGTTAACAGTTGGGTCAATTTCACGAAGCACCGTCGATCGGTAACTCAACTTACGAAGAATAACCCATCGCAACTTACGATGCTTCCTAAAATCGATTTCACGAAACGTTCGATGAGTGTAACGCATCGTAAGTACCTTGACAACGGCGTGGAACACGTTGTAAGTTAAGACGTGTCTGTGAGTCGTAAGTTATGAAGTGTCTTTTCGAAGCCAGTTTTACAGCATGACAAGTGAAAAAAGAAGACCAACAACATGTGATAATGTTCGTTCAATTATCTTTGTCTTTGAGGCTAAGTGTTCGGAGAAAAACTCCGGTCTATATATTTCAGCATTGATTTGCTGATGAAAACCCCCCGCCCTGCAAAAAAACGACGAATTTTTTTGTGAAAATAATATTACTTTCTTGGTCAAAATGATATATTTGTTTGTGCGTGAAAATGAGAAGTGTCAATTTAACCCGGAAAATTGTCAGGTCAATTCTAATTTGAAGTCTAATCTGACCGGGGACGTTTAATTCTAAAAGGACATCTGGGATAGATTTGACGTGTGCTCGGCCCAGTGACGTAGCCACGGGGGGCGTGGGGGCGACAGCCCCCCCCCCCATGAAACCCTATCGCCCCCCCCCCCCCTGAGATTTTGAGTTTCTAAAAAAATTATCATTGATCTACATGACGCCCCCCCATGAAATGTTCCAACCCCCCCCCCCCCCCCGCGCCCCCCCCCCCCCGAAAAATTCCTGGCTACGCCACTGGCTCGGCCACTTTCATAATGTTCACTGAGCCTAATTAGTTTAACTATACTGCTGCAATTTTAATCGAAATCAAGGAAATCTCACCGTAAACCTCTCCGTGGGGGTTGAATCACGCTGGATAATATGAACGATCCCGGCATTGTTTCAGTTCAGAGGCACTTGCGATAACCGTATGGTCCCCAAAACAAGCTATACGTACGTTTGTCAGACAGTAGAATTATTTTGTTTGTTCATAAATGCGGATACGTTCTTGCTTTGGGCCTACTACCCATATTCCAGACTATTTGTCAGTTCCTGGCATGAGTTTGTACGCAAGTATAGTCCGTGGTCACGTGGTGGCTTTTAAAGTATGACCTTGCCGAAGGGAACAACCGATGCCCTCGCAGGTTCACTATGTCCAATTGTGAGTTTTTCAGGACGTACTCAAGCAAAACTATACCAAAAAGGCCAACCTGTGACGTACATAGCCTTAACTGACCTTACCTTTTTGCATTACAATGTGCGCGCCCAACCGTTCCAACTCATTTATCTTTAAATCCCCAAGGATCATTGGTGCAATTTAGCTCTAATTCAGAGGACAAATCAGTTCACAAAACTTTGCGCTACATGTCGGGTTGAGGACGAGTACAGCGTCTTGGTACAAAATAATTCTAGGTCCTTCCCCCTTAAAAATTACCCTAACATTTTACCCTGATAGAAAAACCTGGCAGAGGAAAAATTCCAACACTGGACACAATTGATATTCTGGATAAAGATAACACACTCTCCATGTTGGTACAACAGTGCCACCCACTAATCTCCATATAAAAATATTGATGAGCCCATTGCCTGCTAGACGTGAAAGTCACCGTCCACCATATAACCACCCGAAGACCAATACATATTTGTAAAGAAAAATATCAAATTAATTGAGCTATGTACAGTTTTTACTCAAAATAATTATGGTTTATTACACAATTAAAATGGCAGCAAAGTGGGGTTTGTATAACAATTTCTGTTTAGAAAAAAGTTTTAGACGACTCTATTTTAATCCAATGGGTGCTACTAATCAGTGGTGCGAGCGCGTGTATGACGAAGTCACGAACGAACCGGATATTAATATATATATATACATTGACCTCTATTATGCAAGTTGACTCCAAGTGTGCGTGGTGAGCCTTGGTAAATTAATGTTGCCACATTTTTCATCATCAACGTTATGTTTTGCGTAATAGCGATACTTCTGGAGTGTTTTCACAGAGATCATTTTTAATATTTAACTATTCAAAGTTTAAAAGAAACAAATTTGTCAAAAAAAACCAAAATAAAACAAATCAATCATTATTTCACGTGCCAACCGTGTCTTCAGAGGACAGTGACAGATGACAGCATATAATAAGGACCTGCATACGGTAACCAAGCCTCTCCATTAACCAATGCATTTTGTGCTTGAACACACACTCTTTAGGCCTTTTACCCAAAAAAAAAAACGCAACACAAACATCAGACAGTACAGACAGACACACACACAGCGTAGGATCTTTTAATATATGATAGGAGTAGTTGAGATTGGTCCTCTCCCCGCATATGAATGGAGGGATCGGGAACCAGTGCGAACCTTCCCTTTTTTGTGCAGCTAGGAACGGCTAACCTGCAGTACTGTTATCTCGATTTTCTACTTGGAGCGGATCAGTTGTGCCACAACAACGGTGTTCTTAATAAAGACCGAGGGCACGCAAAATA